ATTTCCAGATGTGGTGTTAATTGTTCCAAGACAGGGGGCATAGCTTTAAAATAATAATGCTGCCAGACACAGGGGCACTATACCTGTAGTTGCTATCCTCTCTCCGTCAATTTCTTTCACCTGTTTGAAGTATTCCAGCCATGCCTATTCTTCTGTAGTGGCATAAGTTAAAAATCAAGAAACTATATTAAATAGTTTAAAAATAAAACCTCTATATTCCTGACTGATCTAAAATATCCAATAAGAAAAACGTCATCAGTTTGTATAATATATATATATATATATCAAATATGATGTGCATACAAAATAGAGTACAGCTAGCTTAAGCTCAGCTCACATTCAGAATTGGAAACAACTAAAAAGAGACACTCACATATATTATATATACATAAGAAGTATGTAAAACATCTATATAAAAATATATATTCAAAGAGAGACAGTCAACATACTTGAACTGCATTTGAAAAGTGGACGTATTTCTAGCACCATATTGCTGAGTATTTATGGATACAGCTGGTGGACTTGCACATACGCAAATAACAGTGTTACGTACACACATAAACTATTTACAGCTAGTTTGGTAACATCTGAAATTGTGTAAGTTACAGTACATGTAATAAAAGGGAAAAAAAAGGGGGGGGGGGGGGGGGGGGATAAGTAACTGGCCATACATGTATATCTAAAACTGAGTATTGCCCACCTCAGAAGGAGACATTCTTTGTTTATGTCTTGAGAAAGAGAAAACTGGAATACACTGTAACGGCAGGAGGGGGGAGAGGCAGAAAGAGATTGGAGAAAAGATGTTGGACAGTTTGACATCATGGCCTAGAAGATCTTCTGCGACAGATTTAATGAAAGTACTGAGACAAAAAGTTATGGACAGACATGACTACCAACACCACACGCCCTGGACTGTAAGAAGATATTCATATTCAGGCTTCCTAAATGCTGCATAGGCATAACGGAATCACTGACTGATGACTACTATTACTATATGAACTTCATTGACTCATGACTACTATTACTATACCAACATCACTGACTCATGACTACTATTACTATACCAACATCACTGACTCATGACTGCTAATACTATACCAACATCACTGACTCATGACTACTATTACTATACCAACATCACTGACTCATGACTACTATTACTATACCAACATCACTGACTCATGACTACTATTACTATACCAACATCACTGACTCATGACTACTATTACAGTACTATTTTACCGTGTTGGAGCACATGCTCAGCATTTTCGGGTGCCACGCTGCAAGGACACATCTCTTGTGTTTCCTACACCGATTAGTTTGAACATATGTTGACACAGTTTGTTGTTCCCTGTCCTTAGTCTGAATACAATACACTGTGCCTCTCTAGAGAGCTAGAAAAGCAAATGTATGTATTAGGGCTGTACCGAATAGTGATTTTCACTATTCGGCCGAATGCGAATAAGGGGACCAACTATTGGGTCGAATACGAAGAGTGTATAGTGTATTCAATATATCTTTTTAAAAAAAAAACATCCACATTCACAATGTCAAATGCACGCTGAACTTTAACTTCACATAAAGTAGATGAACAGTCATCTTCTTCTTTATCATTCTGAGCCTTTGAGGTTTACTGCTGCAGATGTCACTTGTCTACATTCATCTCTCTGGCTGGCCTTCTCTTCACAATTTGTGACACCAGTTGTTTGCAGGTCTGGCTGGAACTCTTGAACTTCTTTTTTGTCTGCCTGGTGGTCTACGACCATTTATCTCCCTTGTGTATACAATTTTTACTTCTGTCATCTGACATTCTTTCAATATGCCCCAATCATTTTAGCTCTCATGATGCCAGTGATCAATGGTGATTTAAACAGACTATGTGTTAAGTTGTTGCTTCTCACTCCCCGTTGTTAGCACAGATTTGTCGTAAGACTGTTTTCAAAAACCTGTAAAAAGGCCTCATCTCTTTTATTTCTGCTTCAAGTCTCAGAGCCATATAAAACGATTGTTCTTATCAACGTTTCATATATTTTGATCTTGGTGTTGTGAGACAGACACTTTGACTTTGGCAGATGTTGAAGGGCATAGCATACGTTTTTTCTAGATTGTATTCTAGATTGTATTTCTTCTCTCAGCATCTTGGATGTGGCTGGAGTTTATATTTGTTCCATGTCTAGCTATTATTCGTACAGAATAGTAAACATTTAAAAACATTTTGTTTTGCATCCTTCAGTCAGTCTGTGGTAACTAATAACTAGCAATGAAAGAATCCTAAGTATTATAACAAGTATCTTAACTTCAAAATTGTCACTGACAGCTTAGTTAATGCATGAATGCTGCATTAGCTTTCAACAAAACCAATCGTTCCATGTTGTCAGTATTAAGGCTGTGTATGCAGAAGCAGGTGTAAGGTAACTACTATTCGTATTCGTCCCGACTGCAACTATTCAGCCGAATACAGAATAGTCACTATTCGGCCCCGAAGCAAATACGAAGCGAATATTCGGTACAGCCCTAGTATGTATCCAGCCACCTTACTTGGATACTATATAGCATTAATGTGTTAGTCTCTTGGTGGGTATTTGGTTGTACCATGTCACTGCCGCTTCTAGCCAACCTGTCCCCTATTTCATTGCCTTCCAAGCCACAGTGACCTGGAATCCACTGCAGTACAAATTGTTCTACTGAAGAACCTAGGTGAATCAGCTGTTGCGTCAAGTCTACAAACTAAGTGTCTTTTGGGTTGACAATTTCATTGTAGAACTGACATAGCATCAGTCAAAAAGACCACTCTGCTATATTTGCTGTGCTGTTGTCCATTCAGGAAAGAACATGCCACCTGAAGTGCATCTGCCTCTTCTCTGTAATTGGAGGAATATGAGCATGTTTGTACAGTTGATTTTTAAACCATTTGGACATTCTATGTATATTCCTCCACCTCTGTCTCTTACTGCTCACTTGGCTGAACCATCTGCATACACTCTAATCCAGCTCTGGTGTGGATAAAGTCTATTGATCTCTCCTTCTGTAACTGAATTCACTAATGCTGCTCATTGATGATTTGGAGGAGACCCCTGTTACAGTGGTTCTGACGGTTGGCAGGTTATCCCTAAGCCAAGAAGGGGGCATTGGTGGTAAGGTTTCAGTGGAGCATTTGGAACTATGAAAGGGAGTTTGAGGTCAGCAAGCTTGACATTTTCATTCTTTGTGAAACAACTACTACTAGTATACCAAGGTACTAATACTATAATACTAACATCATTGATTCATGACTACTAATATACCAACATGACTACTATGACTATACCAACATCACTAACTGATAACTACTTTTATTATACCAACATGACTACTACTACTTTACCAACACAACTACTATACCAACATGGCCACTACTACTATACCAACATCATTGGTTTATGACTACTACTATACCAATATGACTATTTCTACTATACCAACTTCATTGGTTTATGACTACTACTATTTCAACTTCATTGGTTTATGACTACTACTATACCAACATGACTACTACTACTATACCAACTTCACTAGTTTATGACTACTACTATACCAACTTCATTGGTTTATGACTACTACTATACCAACTTCACTGGTTTATGACTACTACTATACCAACTTCATTGGTTTATGACTACTACTATACGAACATGACTACTACTACTATACCAACTTCACTGGTTTATGACTACTACTATACCAACTTCATTGGTTTATGACTACTACTATACGAACATGACTACTACTACTATACCAACTTCATTGGTTTATGACTACTACTATACCAACTTCATTGGTTTATGACTACTATACCAACTTCATTGGTTTATGACTACTATACCAACTTCATTGGTTTATGACTACTACTACACCAACTTCATTGGTTTATGACTACTACTATACGAACATGACTACTACTACTATACCAACTTCATTGGTTTATGACTACTACTATACCAACTTCATTGGTTTATGACTACTACTATACCAACTTCATTGGTTTATTACTACTACTATACCAACTTCATTGGTTTATGACTACTACTATACCAACTTAATTGGTTTATGACTACTATACCAACATGACTACTACTACTATACCAACTTATTGGTTTATGACTACTACTATACCAACTTCATTGGTTTATGACTACTATACCAACATGACTACTACTACTATACCAACTTATTGGTTTATGACTACTACTATACCAATTTCATTGGTTTATGACTACTATACCAACATCATTGACTCATGACTACTATTACCATACCAATATGATGACTTATACTGCTATATTAATATAACTGAGTCATGACTATTTTTATGCCAATTCCAAACTTGCTAATTAGTGCCAGTATTTGCTATTTTCCTTGTGTGGAAACGGTGGGGGGCTTTGAGCCTACTACTAACCAACTACGACAATAGGTTAGTTGCATATCCTTTACAGGAGGTTGCAGAACCAACCCTAATAGCCCCTGGCTGTTGTGTGGTTTCTCTAGGCAAATTTACGTAGTTTAACTACGACTATACCAACATTAATTTCTCATGGCTACTACAACAATATGATACTACTTCTGTACTAGTAACACTGATTCATGACCACTGCTACACCATCATCAGTGACTCCTGACTACTACACCAACATATTAAATGCCTGACTACCACCAGAACACCATTCACTACCACCAGTGCATTTGTGAGACAAAGAATAACACATGAAAATGTAGATAATGCTCAGTGTAAATCACGATCAAACAGATTAGGGGAGACCAGTTAAAAGCATAGAAATAGACCATAACATGAAAATTCACTCAGCTATCTTACTACTGAATTACAGATACACATATTCATAACTGTGGTAGAGTATTTCTATGTACATGAGTCTCTGCGACAAACATGATAAACAGCCACTGTGAAATATTTGAATGATGATTGGCACTTGTCAAGCAGAATGGTTGATTTCTCTTGAATGGACCTATTTGGAGGCAGGGCAGGATTCCACGTTGAATCCCCTGATGGCATCTGCACTAAAATCTAACTGTTTGTTGTGTAGTTTGATATTGGCTAGACACCCAACAAAGTTGTCTTCAAACAGCATGGCTGTGTGTCTGTCTAAATCTGGCACTCCACCTATGGAAATCCAACAGATAGCATTGTCATTTAAAGTGATTATATAAATAATAGTTTCAATAATATGGGCACAAACTCTACATTGTATTTTTTATTGCCTGGCACATACTAATAAGTGCTAGCTAAGTTGGTTACGCCGAACCATTTGATCTAAAAGGTGAAGGTGAGACTTGATCTATTGTCTCTTGATAAAGTTTAGTACTGGTTTCATTTCAGTTCTTTCCTAAAATCATCATTTGTTGATGTAGTTTAGTACTTGTTCTGTTCCAGCTTCAATCCTGATATCGTAAGTTCTGATTCTGTCTCTTCTAGTTACATTTAGGATTCACTGTAGACATTTCATTTCTGTCTATTAGTGTTCAGTTGTTGTTTTTCCCCCTAAAGTGTCAGTCTACTACAATGTAAACAATCTTTTTTTCTTTAAGTCCATTCCATATGGGGGTTTGTAATCATGTCTGACCACAGCCTTCTGTCACTGGTACTGTCAACCATTTCTGATGAAGATGTTCTTCCATGCTATGATGCAACACTGCCCATCTCTCCTCTCTTGGTCTTCTGTTAGCTTTCTTTCCCTTTAACTTTCCTGTTGTCATGACATACTCAAGTTATCCCCCTACTCTCAATGTGACCAGAGAATGTAGGCAAAATACAATAGACAATAAACAAACAATCAGAAAGGTGAACTGAGCTCTGGACAAAGTGGACTTACAGAAAAATAGGTTTTATTTCATTAAAAATTAAAAATAATTAAATAATACAGGGGTTTTTGACACTAGTAAAGAAACATTTCGAGAGACTGGGAAAGTTTATTTAAAAAAAAAGAGAGAGAGAGAGAGAGAAAGAGAGAGATAAAGAAAGAGACAAATAGTTTGGTCATACTGAAAGTCATAACGCTCTTTTTAAAACTATATAGAGGAGAAAAATGGAAGACAGGAAAGCAAAAGGTAGAGAGACACACACGTGAAGTGCTGACTCCACAAGAGGGACACAAACAGTGGCCTCTAAGTGCTCAGCTAGTGAGAGATACAGAATGAACAAACAAATTAACAAACTTTTTTCCAAATGGTTAAGAATTCGGCACACAAGCCCGTCTTAGACTCTGCCCATCTGGCCTCCCTGCATGCATTATTTCATTCCTACATCATTTTAGCAGCTAAAAATAACATCTTAGTCTTAGTTACAAGCGCTAGAATGTGCTCCAAGTATACCTACTTTTCAAAACAATAATAATACTAAATCTAGGGGAAATCAACAATATTTTAGGAAACTATTATCTTTAAAGTATGTATGTATTCTGAAAGGAGATAATATTCAAATAGTTTCTGACTGTATGTATAGTTTTTGCTATTTAGGATTGGCTGTTAAAGTTGGTTCCATAGATGAGTTGCTAAGAGTGTTAAAGATCACTTGCAGCCAGCCTTGATTGTAGAGATGGCACCTGATTGACTCATGTAGTCTGACCCATTATTGAAACAAAAAGTAATAAGTAAAGGACACTTCTCCACGCCTTTAGGCATATAGGGCATATATGGCTAGACCTAAATTTGATAGACCAATCGGCACAAGATGGATGATGTGGTCAGCATCACGCTGGCTGCCTTTATGTTCCGGGACTGCACCCACTTCCCACTCAAGGCTGGGTTAACCTTGGAGCCAAGGTGATTTTTAAAAAAGTCTGCCTCTGCCAGGGTGCAAACCCCCGACCTTCTGATCTGTGGCGAGCATCTAGCGGCTCCGCCACGGTGACTCCCTCTAACCCATTTTTACTATTTAAAAAAACAGTCATGCACAGTATAAGCACATATCAAAGAAGACTACAAACACATACCAAAGAACACTACAAGCACATACCAAAGAACACTACAAGCACACACCAAAGAACACTACAGGCACATACCAAAGAACACTACAAGCACACACCAAAGAACACTACAAGCACATACCAAAGAAGACATTTCCTGGGACATTCAAAGTTTGCAGAGGTCCCTCTGACATGCCTCTCACTGGAGCTCTGCGATCGATACTCACACTCCCACTCCTGCGATCTCTACAACAGACATGAACAAAGATATCATTGTATCATTATTGATATTATAATTGAAAGCTAATCAATAATACAAATTTGTTTACTGACTTGGTTGATCCTCTTCTACCCTTGGGGTGTATAGGTTTGCCAGGGTAATCGCCGGACTTCTCTATCAGCAGTTTTCTTTTTGGCTGTGTTCCATTCCGGTCCTCTTCCTAGCAAACCCTGGGTCATCCTGCAAGTCTTGTTGCCTGGTTCTTGGCCTCCCATGCCTGGCATGGTGACCAGTTCTCTCCCATTCGGCATACCTGTCCAAATCATCCTGACTGACTGATCCACTCGAGTTTGTAACATGGGTCTCAAGATCATGAAAATAAGTCTGGCTAAAAATTTTGTCCTTTTTTTGTTACTTTGACCACCTTTATCAGTTATCTCATTTCTGAAGTCTGAAGTTGGCTTTTACAAAGGCATTAATGATTAAAATTGTTACTGATATTTCTTCCTCTTCTTCAGCATTTCGAGCCTTCAGGTTCACTGCTGCAGATAGCAACCGCCTCCACTCATCTCTCTGGTTGGCTTTCTCTTTCCAGTTAGTAACACCAAGTGTTTGCAGGTCTCTCTGGACATTATCTCTCCATTGTCTTCTTGGTCTGCCTCGTGGTGTACGACTATTCATCTCCCTTGTGTATACAGTTTTTACCTCTCTGTCACTGACATTCTCTCAATATGCCCTAGTTATTTCAACCCATTAGCTCTCATGGTACTAGTTACTGGAACTAATGAAAACAAAAAAATATCTACTAACCTGAAAAAACAAATCACGTGCTGGGGAATTAGGATACATGAAATCATATAAATCTTTCCTTTGGAGAAGGTAAGACCAACAGAGGAAAGTATCATGCTGCAATGGCAACACATGGTCCCTACAGTACTTCTCAGGCTCTGTACCATTTTCCCAGACAGTGTAACACCTTTGTCTGGTAATAATGAAAGGTGCCAGACAACCACTGATAAATCCTGATCTAATTCACTGGCATGCAGAACCTTCGAAATGATTCTAAACTGAATATTTCAATTGATGTGGCCCAAATTCTGTAATTGCTGTCCAAGAACTTTTGTGCTAAGATTTACCTTCATTCATTCATTGGCACCTTTCTGTCTTTCTAGAAAATAGTGCTATTTTGCGCTATGAGGAGGAATGGGACTCACAGCACAGGGCAATGGCGAGTGTGACTAGCAAGACCCGCCCATGATAAGAAAAGTCTTCTACAGTTATAGCATCGGATTTCAGGCCCATTGTTGTGAACATATGTGTTTCATCTGTTTCTTCTCAGATGCTCAGCTCTCATCCTTTCTGCAGTTATTTCTTCCTTAGGTGCCCTTCCACACAACATGTCCCATGGCATTCTCTTTCCACAAGTTCACCTCAATACCTGTATCATACATTTCCTTCTTGGCAACATCTTTATATAGTAGATTTACCTTATCAGTCTCTTATATATCCAGTAATCCAAATTTCATCATTGGACAGGATAGTCCCTATTTCAAAAATTTTTATGATGTGGCAAACTCAGGACCAAGAACTCTAACAACAGCAATTTACCAATTAAACTGCAGAACACAAAATAGCAGTTAACATATTAAAGAAGCAACTGTTACCTCTCAACAACAACAAAATGGGGAAATCCATCATCAACTGTCTCAGACGAGCGGATCAAAGCAGGTCCACTGCCCAGTTGAAACCTGGAGGAATATTTACAACTCTTGTTAATGGTGAAAACAACATAAATATAACACACATCAAAGTCATTGGTTGGGAGACCCAAACAAAAATAATTTGGACATCTTTTAAGAATTTAGACCTTTCACACCGAGAAGGACTGAACAAGGCAATTCTATCTTTGAGAAATCCAGGAACAAAGCATTTCTGCGGTGACCTGGCCCAAATTAGACTGGTTAATGGCGCTGGTTGTGCTAGCACCCGTGCAGCGTTTTGAAGATCAGGATATGAATATATTACCCCCCACCCCCCCTCCCCCAAGTATTTTTGAGGTTTTCTTATGAACTAAATGGCTTGTTAAATGCTAATTTACGTCATAATTTGCCAATTGTGTTTATTGTTCAAAGGTCTCAGAGTCGTGAAATAAGTCACCCAGTACATTTGTTTAGGCTACAGAAAATATATTTAATTTAATGCTTCACTCCAAATGTGTTTACTGATTTATTACCTTTATCCATTTCTGAACAAAAATTGAGAAATGTAGATGATTAATTTTGTTAGAAAAATTATTGTTTTTTAGCATATTTTTTAATTTTTAAAAATGATTTTTCTGGATTTGTTGCTGATTACTGACTATATTTTGTAATGTTCATGGGGTCAAATAGTTAAGCCAAGCGTTTATTGGCAATAGAATACAATAACAGATAAACCCCCCCCCCCCCCCCCCCCCCAAAAAAAATCACAAAAAAAAACTTATAGAATCAGATTCATCAAATGATTGAGAAGACATCTAGTGTATGCTAAATATACACCACATAGAGAAAACAAAAATTACAAAACCACCATCTTCAGGATGTACACAGAACAGAAAGAGATACTCACTCTTTCAATACCAAACAACTCAGCAGATCTTCCTGGATGATTACAAAGATATTCTTTTTTCTTATGCATTCATCCTCTAATTCTTTCAGCCCAACCAATGCTGCATGTGATGACTGAGAAGTTCCAATTTGTCCAAAAAAACATAGTCTGTGTCGATCGTGTGTCCCGCACATACTGATTCATGTACTGTTCCATATTAGTTTTTCATGTTGGAAACGACCATAAACAAATTCAGGGAAGGTCACTTTACTATGTTTACTTGTTTATAAGTCTTTGTTCGACCTCCAAAATGCAACGCCAAAGTAAATGGGACAAACCTCAAGCAAGTTGATATGTTTAAGTACTTGAGTACACTGATAACATCAGAAGGAAGATGTATTAAGGAAGTTAAATGTCAAATAGCTCAAGTAAAGGCAGTATTTTACCAAATAAAGAATAGTTTATGCAATCTTGAACTGACTGCCCACATCAGAAAGAGACACTACGTTTTTTGGTCAGGTGATGAAAATGAGAAAACTGAATTACATCATGACAGCAGAAAAGTTGAAAGGGAGGAGAGACAGAGGGAGACTGAGAGAAAAGATGCTGGACAGTTTGATATCATGGCATGGAGATTCGATCATCTGTGTCAGAGTTGACTGAAAGTATACGAGACAGAAGGTTGTGGATAGATATGACTACCAACGCCACAAGGCATGAACTAAGAAAAAGAAGAAGTCTTCGTTAGCACATTTAGGCACATATTTATCCAAGTCATTGTTAGCGTCATTTTCAGACATGGATTTTCAGATTTCGTCTTCTACTGACTATGGATACCAATGCTCCAACCACAAGTACAGACCAGAAAATATTGCTGAAGCTCTAAAATTGTTTCAGTCTGATAATGAAAACTTACATTTTTTGGAAAGTGATTCGGACAGTGAATTTTCACAAACGGAGCTGAGCAGTCAGTGTTTGAGAATAAAGCAGTTCTCAGAGCTAAACCAAGGAGGATTCATTTAATTTGCGAAGGATAGTCACCCACATTGGCATCCAAAGGTCTGTTTCAAAAGTACCATACTCTGACTAAGCTGTACTGAAATCATTGCCAATCATAGACCTTTGGATGCCTAGTCCAGAAATGGGGATACTGCATCAGCAAACGATGACAAGAAGCAAATAATACTTGAACGCTTTAATAGCCAGCTAGCCTGACAGCTATACCGAACTGGGTCAGAATATAAATGTTTAAAGTAATAACTACCTAGTGTTTGAAGGCAACAATTCACAAACATCAGAAAGAGACAGTCATCATTTTTTTAGTCATGTTATGAGAAGAAGCAAACTGGAACATATTGTAACCAATGGAAAGATGTGAGAAAAAGAGACGGGTAAGACAACTCAAAAAGATTCTTGGCAGCCATTTTTTTTCTCCTGGCAGGGAGAGGTGTCAGCACAAAAACTGATATATGCTGTTGAAGACTGCACATTGTGGAGAGGCATGATCACCCATGCCAGCTGCCAAGGTACGTGATGATGATGATGATGATGATGATGAATAAATGCTTCAAACTGAAAGAGATCAAGATAAAAGAGTGGTGCAGACATACCCAAACTCCACAAAGCCATTTTTCAAAGCGAGGGCCAGATAATCTTTGCTTTTCTGCTCTCCTGGGTGCTGTCCTTGCCAGAAAAATAAGCCATCAGAAGATGTGGTAGTGATGGTGAAGCTGATAACCTCAGGCGTCCGCCGGCGAGCATGAGGAAAAACATCTTTATTGAACTCAACATATCCGTTTCCATTCACACTGATGTTGGTACTCACTGCTGTGCCTGCATGAGAACATTGGATGTGTTTCAGTGTAAGTGAGTTTTACGCATAAATTGGATCAAGCAATTATTACTAGAACTAAAACCCATATGCTGAGGGTAAAGAAATGCATATGAAATCTTTAAAGATAATTACTTGAAAAGTTAAAAGTGACTCTTCCTGCCCCATAAAGTTTTGTACACAAAAAAAAAAAAGCATTTTTTTTCCCTTAAATATTAGCACAAAAATTCTTGCCATTTGCTGTGTTTTTAGAATGAAAAGTGAATGAAAAATAGCCCTGTAGTTGCCATATTTATTAGTATGCACGGACCAAAACTGAAATATAAGAAGGCACTTGATGTGATGTGTGAGACACGTGGGGAAAAGTCAGTAACATATCAAACATTGTTTGAGACTAAAGAGTTAATGAGGATGACCAATGAACATAATAAATTCCCTACGTTAACGAAACAACATTAATAAGATTACTTAAATACCCATTGTTGGGTATCTGTCATAATGATGCCCAGAAACTGTGAACAAGTCAAGATCTCCACACACAGAAAATAATGATACACGCTGCATAAATATTTGTAGTAGTATTTCAAACAACAATATCCTGTTCAACTTATCAAGGTTATAATTGGGATACATAGTTGTTTTCTTCTTTTTCAATAATGGATATTTATGCCTACTAATTATGTTTGGTTATGTAATATCGTATAGCTTATGTAATTAAGCTATTAATTATAACTAATAATTATAGCTATAATTACTAACTGTATATCATTTTAGGAACATAGGTTGTCACATTCACTATATTTTAAACGTATTGGATAAATGTCTGAAAGAAATGATTACCAAAAAAAAAAAAAAAACATACTCTGCAAAACTAATAAACATGTTATATTCCAATTATAACCATGAGGATTGAACAGCATATTTTTATGTGAAAATTACTACTACTACAGTAGTGGGTTGGACTATCTCTCAGTCCTTAAGAAAGAGAATAGGGGGTTTTGAGCTGAAATGCTATAGAAAGATTCTCAGAATATCTTGGTCCAAGAAGATAAGAAATATTGACATCTCAAAAGATCTGAACATCAAGGAAGATTGGCTAATAAACAGCATCCTTTCTCGAAAGCTGAAATATTTTGGTCATATCAAGCGCCACGACGGATTGGAAAAATTTTAGCAGAAGGCATGGTACCAGGAAGGAGGGGCAGGGGCCGACCGACACGAAGATGGGCACAGGATATAAGTGACTCCTTGAGTGTGAAGGTTCATGAGGAAGGAGAACTGGCAAGAGACCGAGTTTCTTACAGGCAGACTGTGATGAGAGTGAACTTCTGCAAAGGACCTGCTACATGATGATGACAGTAGTGGGTACCAGGTGCAATCTTGGAAAGTAAAGATGACCAGCGTGATGCTGACCACATCACCCAGCAAGTGCTGATTGGTCTATAGAATATAGGTCTAGCCCTATATGCCCAATATGCCTAAAACATGGAAAAGTGTCCTTTACTTTACTTTACTTTACTTTACTTACTACTACTACACAGACTACATACACACTAAGAAAATTAAATAAAAAGTAATGCTTCCCTGATAAAATTTCAACCAATAATTCACAGATTCCAGAATTAACTGACTGGTATATTTAGCTTTATCTCATCAGAAGTACATTACATCTATACTAGTGTCTTTGTCTTCTGCCCCTTCATTCTCAGCTCAAAGCAAACTACTTTATTTTATGCCCTCCCTGCTGCTCTCTTCAAGGCCTATCACTATTATTCATTCAAGTCTTTAATTCACTATTCTTTAATATATACACCCACCTACCCATCTATCAATCCACACATCCTTCTATCCATATGTCTATCCATCCATCCATCTATCTGTCTAACATAAAATTAAAATAAAGCCAACACTAGCAAGCAGACTCACGAAGCTCGCAGTTGATTCCTGTCCAAGGTATGGGACAGTCACACTGGTAGCCGGATCCCACAACGGAACATTTGCCACCATTTTGACATGGCTGCCGAGTGACACAGATGTTCAGCTCTGTCTCACAGTTGGTTCCTGTAACATGTCCAGAAAGAGAGTACTGTAACAAACAATAATTCAGTCTATACATCGTAGACATCTGGTTTAAAGAATTACTTTATAAATCTTTGGATAATATGCAGTTCATGCTTATTTTCACCCACAAAAACTCTAAAACATATTATACTCGGGACTTTTTACAGTAATAGCATTTCTTTCTCTTTTTGTTTTCTTCATATTGTCCATGAAGTTGGTAACTGTGTTTGTACAATAATGGTTTGCATATGAGGTGTGTAAATATATAAGACAGAATAAGGCTATCTCAGCTCAAAATATTTTCAAAGACAGATTTACACAATACAATTATTTAAAAAGTACGCTTAAAATGTATTAAACTTAATAATCTATACACCTATAATATGTTTTCTATTTATTCATTGACCTGTTGTGCCATTACATGTCACATAAGGTTGGCAGTCTATTCCTCCATTCCCTTCTACCCTTGGCAATCACTTCAATAACATGGATGGAATCCAGTCCAGCACTTTTGGTTTCTCTCAAGATCATTTTTGTCTAGAGAGAATGAGGCACCTGGGTGTAACCAGAGGGTCTGGCCCGCTTACTACACTCAGAGGAAAGGCAAGACAGACCAGATTGTGACCGGTACCATCATAATTGGAACTCTGCGCTGAGCTGAAGATGAGGACAGAGCATACATGGAAATGCCCCGAGTGCTGTGATGTCAATTCTTGACTCAACTTAACTCAACTGGCTTTTCTCATCAACATTCACCCTAGTGTTTGTCATGGGCATTTATGTTTCCTCAATCCTTCTATTTCTCAAATTTATCGATGCTAGATTAAATAACCAAAGGTAACTGAAAAGCATAAATATCAATTACAACAACAAAAAATAAAAATAATTTTTTTTTAAATCCCTATATCCCTGTTATAACCTAGAGGAGTTGTGCAGAATACTGACCACCACTACATAAATGCAATCCTCATCCTTGTAAACAATGCTGATGTACCTGTAAACTGAGAAGAACAGTAGCATCTGTATTCTGTCGGTGAGATGTCCACACACTGGGCATTGTTCAGACATGGCCGTCTGTCACACAGCCTCCTTTCCCCACAGTCTTCAACATTAAGAGTCTCAAGTGCATCATCAAACAATCTAATGGTGGCGTTGCCTATTGTCAACTGATCAGAAATAAGCATAATTTTAATTAGGTATAAAACAGTCTTCATTAAAAAAAATTAATCAAACAATAAATGACATAACTGTACTAAGGGCATTCTCACATGTCTTTTGTCCTCTTCCTTAGCAGCCAATGAAGAGTTCCCATATGGATGGTGCCAGTTGCAAACCGATGAAAGGTCTGCATGTCTTTCTCCCTGCATGCTGAAAACTGTCTAGACCCGGGTTATAAAGCTAAGTTTACCCAGGGGCCAAAATGCTGAAAATTTGAACTGTCACAAGCCACAGACTCGAACCCCAGAATAAAAAGATCATTAATAGAATACAATTGGCAGGGATCCAAAGGCCACTGACTAGGCCTCTGCGAGTCATAAAAAATAGCTCTAGTCAAGACCTTCTGCATAACATCATGTATAAAAATATATAAAAGACAGCAGAAAGTTTTGATTAACTGTCTTATTTTTCTTCACTTCAGTTGTTAGGGATCAGCCTTTATCTGCAATTCTGTTTCCAGAAAAACAGAAATGGCTTCCTGCAGTTGTGTGGACTTTCATAGAAGTAATAAACACAACACAAACTGTGACTAGAAAGCTCCACAGTAGAATGGAAAGGATGCGGAAAATACAACCAAATGCTTCGACCAAAGTCTTTATCAACAGAGTACTAAATACAATACAGACTGACTAGAAAACTCAACAGCAAAAGACAACAAAACTTAAAAACCACCAAAGTCAACATAAAAACCTGAAATATATAATAGAAGATAATATGGATATAAGGGGCTAAAGTTAAAGGTTTAAGTCCATAGGATCAACTTCATCGCCCTGGATTTTATCCCATATGGGGCTGTCTCTCCTTCCATGTGCCAAGAGTGTTGCACAAGGCACAGACACTGTAGCTCAGGCGACAGTCCCTAGTGGTAAAAACTGCATTCTTAAACCGAATGACACAGACGTGAAACAAATTCACAACCTTCAGAGTGCAAGGCAAATGGCTTGGCATTTTTGTCATGGCCGCCTAATACGAGGGCTACAACAAGTCAGGCTTTTGAAGAGTGACATCTAGGGTTGTTCCATCAACTCTGAGAATAGATGTTCCTGAAGTGTATTTGAATGAATGTTGCTTGGCTGAATGGCTTTTTGGATAGCTGGTTGTTTCTATGGCTGATTAGTTAATTATCTCTCTCTGCCGTTTGAAATACCAACTTTAGCCAAGTGTACTGATTCAACATCATCATCCTTTGTGTGCCATTAAAGTCACATAGGGCTCGTAGTCAATTCCTCCACTCCTCTCTGTTTTATGCAACTCTCTTGATTTCTGACATGGAGTTCAGCCCAGTATTTTTAGCCTCTTATAATAATGTTCTTCTTAATGTTTGCCTTGGACGTCCTCTTATTCTCTGCCATTTGTTTTCCATTTCTTTGCACATCAGATCTTAACACAAGATCTTTAGACACACACACACACAAAGCATGCACGCATGCATACACACTCATCCCATGATACAGACTAAAACAGCATATTACCACTGTATGTAACACATCCTGACATCAAACGAAATAGACTAAAACATGATATTACCTCTCAACACATCCAACAAAATAAACTAAAATCATGATTGTACCTCTCTAACACATCCCCAAAAAAAAAAACACAGGCTAAAACATGGTAGTACCTCTCCAACACATCCAACAAAACAGGCTAAAACATGACAGTGTTTCTCCAACACATCCAACAAGCTGACTAAAACATTATAGTACCTCTCCAACACACCCAACAAAGCTGACTAAAACATGATAGTGCTTCTTCATCATTCAAAACTACTAAAAACATTACAGTACCTCTCCAACACATCCAACAAGCTGACTAAAACATTATAGTACCTCTCCAACACACCCAACAAAGCTGACTAAAACATGATAGTGCTTCTTCATCATTCAAAACTACTAAAAACATTACAGTACCTCTCCAACACATCCAACAAGCTGACTAAAACATTATAGTACCTCTCCAACACACCCAACAAAGCTGACTAAAACATGATAGTGCTTCTTCATCATTGAAAACTACTAAAAACATTACAGTACCTCTCCAACACATCCAACAAGCTGACTAAAACATTATTGTACCTCTCCAACACACCCAACAAAGCTGACTAAAACATGATAGTGCTTCTTCATCATTGAAAACTACTAAAAACATTACAGTACCTCTCCAACACATCCAACAAAGCTGACTAAAACATTACAGTACCTCTCCAACACATCCAACAAACCCATCAAAAGTCCCAGCATTTGCATTGATGATCTCCAGTGGGTCTACGCCACCTACATATAGAGGCCTTTCCAGGTTCAGGCCGATTGTCCTGTCCCCAACTGTGGTTCCTGGACAGTGAATAATTTAGAAAAAAATGTTTAGTTTGAATTTTTTCTTAATTGATCTCCTAAACATAAACTGTCAGATGAGGGTAAGGAAAAAAAAATAAAGATAAGGACAGAAAACACTGATAAAAACGATGGAAAGATAAATCCTATGCTGGATGCAGCTCACAATTGAAAAGCTAGACATGGGAAGATAGAGCTAACTACCTTCAGTGAATTAGTCTTAAAGATTTACAGTTCAAAGGCATAGCAAGGGGGTGCAGACAGCATCTGGTGTGATCAGCTGGGGGAAGGGGGGGAGATGGGTGGGGGGTGTCAAAATGACAAAAATGTGTGTTTTTAACATAAACAAATGTGTGTGTTTGCCTGTGTGTGTTTGCCTGTGTGTGTTTTTAGGGGATGACAGGACATTTTCTGCTCTGAGTACCACCAGACCTTACTACGATACTGGTACAGTTTATTAAAGTGTATATCAGTCCCAAGCACTGCTCTTTCAGGTTGAGAGATGCATAACTAGGTATGACAACATTTAATTGAAAGAAAAATCATTACGGTCTGAGGAGAATGGCACTACGAGGAGTTACAAAAGGGGATCTGGCCGACGCTTGACACTCGGATATACATTCAGACTGTTGCTGGTACTATCTGAATTTTAACTCTTCGCTTGCTGCTGAAGATGGGGGAACGGAGCGATTAGGAAGTGTCCCGAATGCTGTGATGTTGATTCTTAATTCAACATTCAACATTCATTCAACATAAGTGAAAGAAAAAAAAGATAATTAAAAAAAAAAAAGATTTTAAAAAAGTTTGTGGATTATGGTAGATTAAACCTCTGAAAAAATTAAACAGCATTTCTGAAACCAACAGAGAGGATGTTATATACTTTGGCATCACATGTGTATCAGAAATGACTGGCGGTACACAAGACATAAGGCTGCGGACAGGCAGGATGACCAGTGCTATATTCTAGGTACCATAGAAATATTTCTGTAATAAATAAAACTGCTAAAGTAAAATGCTAGATTTTAAGAAAGAAAAAAAAAAGCTATTAATTCTGCAGTTATAATAATGGGCATTTCAACTGTTTCATACAAGATTAAATATAGGATTCTAAGAAGTAAATGTAGACATTACATGATGTCTAGCAAACACATGGATAAACACACATGTTCAGTACTGTATTTTCGGAAAATTTTGAGTGACAGGGTTGTTTAAAGAAAATGTATGATTGTAATATGTACAGTAAAGTAAAGCAATGGACCCTTCTCCATGCCTTCAGTGTACTAGGCACATAGGGCTAGACCTATAATTGATAGACCAATCAGCACTTGGTGGGTGATATGGTCAGCATGACATCCCGGCTGCCTTCAACTTCCAGGACATCTACCTGGTCACTTTTTAAGGTTGAGTCGACCAGGAAGAAAAGGTCATTTCTGAAATAAGTCCAGCACTTTTTGAATTTAAACTCATGACTTCCAGATCTGCAGGCAAGTGTCTAGCCACTACACCACAGCAGCTCCCAGTTGTCATATGTATTAATACGATATAATATGTTTGTTAGCTATTCGATTCCCCCCCCCCCCCCACCACCCCTCTCTCTCCTCCCCTCTCTCATTTGCATTTGCTGAATAAAATATTATAGTTGGCATACATATATTTCAGGGAGTCATATGCTTGAATATAAATATATATTGAAATACTACATGCTTTACAAATTATATATATATACATATATATATATTGAAATACCATTCTTCTCTTATAGTCTCTACCACTAAAACAGTTGTAAGATATTAGTAATAGCATGCAATCAATTTAGTACAGAAAGAGAGTGTGCTGAAAACACATAAATATGTATACATTATGTCAGCAGGGATAAGCAAAGAAACACATTATCTTAAAACAAGAAGTTAACCCCTTTGTTTGATAAAAATCTTTACAAAAAAAAAAAAAAAAACCTGTTTTAAAATTTCATTTAAAAAAACAGGAAATGCTTACAATTCTTCTTCTTCTTTGTATTCACCGGCTGTGAATATAGGAAATGCTTACGATTCTTCTTCTTCTTTGCATTCACTGGCTGTGAACTTAGGAAATGCTTACGATTCTTCTTCTTCTTTGCATTCACTGGCTGTGAACTTAGGAAATGCTTACAATTCTTCTTCTTCTTTGCATTCACCGGCTGTGAACTTTGTCAGAGGGTTCTGGTTGTTTATCCGCCTCTGGATTTAGTCTTGTTCCAGAACCTGAGTGTTGCAAAAACATATGTTTACCAGATCTGACTTATCTGTATGCAGATTCCTTGCCTCTCAGGCAGATGCACTCTGACTTCAAAAGAAGCCCCTAATTAGTTAACTCTTATGACATGCTTGTGGGAGAGGCAGTGGGTTTATTTTTGTTTTCCCCACAATGGGGCCTCAGAACCCACACAGGGAACCCTTATAATTCTCTGAAACTCTACCCTAAGAAACTAGAGCTAGAGAAGAAGAAGCAGAAGACATTGGAGTTCTGGTCAGCTTTTATAAAAATTCTGGGGGTTGAAAGTATGACCACTAAACAGCAGACAGGCAAGAATATTGGCTACAGTAATATTGAGGTCGTCAAATCACTAAAATAATGAATATTAATTGTTTTATTTACTTTTCTGAGCAACATAATTTTTAAAATTTTTAAACTTTCCTTCCCTCTGACCATGATAAACATGATTTTCTTGATTTGAGCATGTGCAGACAAGTGATCTCATGAGTTTTTTATAACATTATGATGAAGTCACAAGGAAAACAATGTGATTTTTTTCCTTCTAAATAATATATATTTTACTGTGTAAAAATAATCATATCACTATGTCTACATCTTTGTGTAGGCAGCTGCACTTAGTACCAAAGTTGTTTTATAAGTGTAGTGGCCATTGCCCAAAGACTTCATATCATTACAAACCTGTAAATGCCAGAAAAATAGTCAGGGCAATGGTGTTAAAGCAAAGCCAAAAATATACAAGTTTCAAGAAATTGAAAGAAAATATTGTCGTATAATAATTTCAGGCACAACTATATTGACTTGTCTCTCTATCTATTCCTATATGTTAATTTATTTATATGTATTTATTCTGTTTTATGTATTTACAATTTTATCTATTTATTTGTCTGTATTTATCATGGACTGAACACTTACACACTTCAAATATCATGAAATGTTAATGTTGGACAGCATAATGCAACCACACATATCCCCTCTCCCTTTTTTGTTTGTTTGTTTGTTTTAGTATCCAGAAGCCGTGAGGTGTTAACCCTTAGGCTCGGTATTATGGATATCGCAACCTTTCGGCCTTGATTCCATTTTAAATACCATAAATCTGGGAGAAATGTGGCTTTTCTGCCCACTCCCGGGAGTGAACCCGGACCACAAGGAGTTCGTCACCCGCTCACCACGCAATCCGGTTTAGCCAACTACGCTAGAGAGACGGGCCTTCTTTTTTTTAAATTCAATTACACATTTACACATACACAGTATTTATCAATAAAGCATTCGTGCAAATTATGTATGTATGTAAACATTTATTTAGATGTATTACTCAAAATGAAAATATTAATCCATATTTGCCAATGATAACATAAGAAAGCTGTGAAAGATTTATCATTAAATGTACAAATGAAGCATAACATACTAATATATGTTACAACAGTTTATGTTTTTTCACACTTGGAAGTGATGTTCTGCATTATTAGAACAGGTCTCATTAAATCCTTTTTTGCTCTAAATTTCAACGTTGTTTTCTTGTCTGTTATTCATATACTTTAATTTGACGTAAAGATAAGTAGTAATATAGCTATATTTCATTCCACACTGTCGACATCAAGATTTATACTATTTTCCAGACTTCCCATTGTATACATCAAGATTTGTATCCTCTTCAAGATTTCCCATTGTTCACATCAAGATTTATATTCTCTTCTAGACTTACCATTGTTTGCATCAAGATATGTATTTCTTTCTAGACTTACCATTGTCTGCATAAAGATTTATATTCTTTTCTAGACTTTCCATTGTCTGCTTCAAGATCTATTTTATTTTCTAGACTTCTCATTGTCTACATCGAGATTTATATTATTCTCTAGGCTTTCCATTGCCCACATAAGGATTTGTATTATTTTTTAGACTTCTTTTCTCTACCTTGAGATTTGTATTATTTTCTGGCCTTCCTATTGTCCACTTCAAGATTTGTATTCTTTTGTAGACTTCCCATTGTCTACTTTGAGATCTGCATTCTTTTCTACACTTTCCATTCTCTACATCAAGATTTGTATTCTTTTTCTAGACTTCCCATGATATGAACAAACAATTTCCTGTTGTCACCAAAAGCTACAAAGTATTATGTGCACTAACATATAACCTACTTATAGTTCATACAACTTTTAGAAAATTAAAACATTAGAAAACTGTTGTTGTTTTGGTTAAGTTGAAAGAAATCTACATAGCAGAATCAATCAAACAGAAATACACAAGAAAACAGAAAAACAAATAAATAAAGCATTAATAAATTAGAAAGGTGGAGTTGTGTTCGTTAAAAGCATGTGACAGAAATAATTAAGCAGTAATGAATAGCTTGCTTATATTATAGTTCATACAATTTCTAGCAAATTAAAGCATTAGAAAACATTAGTTTTTCTCATGTTAAAAGAAAACTATTATGATCAAACCAGCCAACAGAAATACACAACAAAATAGAAAACAAATGAAATTGAAACATTAATAAATTAAAAAAGCAGCACCATATTTAAGTTTCAAGCACTTGAGAGAAATGATTCCAAAGCCAAAAAAAATGTTTTAAAAAAAAGACAAAAGCGAGACATTGAAGCGGAAAAAAAAAAGAATTGCTGGAAAAAAGTGAATTAGAATTTACAGGCATTTTGTTTTTAAACATTGAATATCCCATCTGTAATTTACTGAACAAAGATCTGTTTTCTACTTTTGACTACCAAACTATTTATTATAACATATAGTTGATACAATTTACTTGAGTGGAATTTCAAATAAACTTAGAAAGTACATTTTATAATGATGAAATTCATGAAATTGCTTCTTTTGCAATTGAGTGAACTAAAAAAAGGCTTTTTTCAAATGGGAAAAACTAGAATATCAGGCTTTTAAAAATATTAAATTGGATGATAATGGCTGGAAAACTAGAATAGGAAATTCTTCTAATCAAGAATATAGCAGCAACTGTCTTAAATGGTCTGAGGCTTAGGCATTGTGAATGAGCTTCATAATTCTAAGGTGTTGAGTTCAATCAGAGTTGTGGGCAATTTGGCAGCAGACCACATTGCATTGGTTTCAACAATGGTATTGAGAGGACTATTCAAAAGGTCATAAAGCAACGGCGAAGAAAAAATTCTGAACTGACAAAAGAATTGACGAGGCTGATTCTGCAATGTCCTGTAATTGTTTTCTATAATGGTGAAGACTAGAATAGTAAAACTGTAAAATGTTAACAGGTAACCTATCTATCATCTTTAATTGTAAAACTAGAATGGTAACACTGTAACTTTAAAAGGTACAGTCAATATTTACCATCTATAATTGTGAAAACTAGAATATTAACACTATCATTTTTAAAAGCAGAATAGTTTCCATCTAAATTATGGAAATGAAAATAGGAAGAATTTATGATTGTAAAATAATTGATGATTTAATGGAGAAAATTAGAATAGCAATTATTATTATTATTATTATTATTAATTATTATTATTATTACTATTGTTGTTTTTTAATCTAATACCCTGAAAACAGCATTAGTATAGCAAGACTCAAAACCTACATTTTACCACAAGATTTGTATGTAAGTTTTCCCCTCATGGTCATATATCGTACACAAGAACTTTCAAAGTTCCTGTAGTTTAATAGTATATTATGTAATACAATTATATGATATTATATGTCTATCTACATCCTCTCCATGTCTGACACCTAAGGCATTCACAAGAGATCTCCATTGCTGACTGTCCTCTGCTTTTCTACCACATGTAATTTTTGCATTCCTTTACTTTCCTTTCTACTGTCCTCAAAATTTCCGTAGGTCATCCATGCAGATTCTTTTTACCAACTGCCATCTATCAGAGAGCTGGCCTTGCCAAAGATATGAAATAAATAGGTAGTCTTTAACTTTTATATTACAGATGGGATATCAAACCACTGACAGAGAGTTAATAGTAAAAAAAAAACAAAAAAACAAGCAGGTCAGTATTTGAAAGTGACACTGGCAGCCATCAGACAAAATCAAGCTGTTGAACTTGGTGTGTTAGGGTTCAAATCTGGATGTATATACCTCTGACCACATCCCCTCTCTCCAGGCGAGAGAACAAGAACCTATCATTGGGTGCCACTTGTTCTACATTAGGTAAAAAGACACAGCAAAATGGTCAAGGATTAACACCATAGGGAATTAGATTGTCTAAAAAAAAAAAAAAAAACGGAGGAAATGCTGAGAACATCTTAAATCTACATATTTTGTATCAGTGGGGTGAAATGTCTTTCACGTGACATGTTTTGTTTTTCAATCACGCCATGATTTTGTTTGCATTTTTTCTCAAAAACTAAATGTCTGTTGTGAGTTGATGTTTTGGTTTTCAGCTTGTCTGTTTGTTGTTTATATTTCACATGCATACAACAACACCGAAACTAAATATTACTGTAACATTTATTCTAATTGAAGTTGGCATTTAAAATTTTTTTTTATGTTGGGAGTATTTTCTGCATCCTACTGAAGGCTATTTTCCTATGGCAATTCTTGTTCTAATGTTTGCAAGGCATCTTGCGTCAGATGCTATGTTCCAGGAAAGTTGTATTGATTCACTTACTGAAGAATTTTGTCATTTGCAGGGATGTCACACCGTGATATATCTTTCCTTTTGGTGATAACCATAATTTATATGTGTGTTCATGTGTTTGCTTTTGTATAACTGCCACTTTCAGGCAACAGCTTTGATTTTTTTTGGGGAGGGGGGAGGGGGTGGGCATCTCTAATCAGGGATTCTATACATTTGCTACAAGGAGTGTGTATTTGACCAAAGTGGAAGTAGTACATCATTGGATTTTGTTGTCATTATTGCTTCCATCTTAAGAACTTCAAGCAATTTTCACGATGGCAAAAAGTGGCTGTGTCATCTTAAATTGTAGATTTCAATATCTATGTACCCCCCCCCCCCCCCCTCTTTCAAAAAAAAAAAAAAATCATTGTGTTCTCTGATTTAGGACTGCTATTTTGTGCATGTTTCTAGTGCAGGATACACTGTACTTGTTTGTGGGAGTGGTGTGTATTGTGGTTGTGCTATGGTGGAGCAGGATGACAAATGATAGGGACTGCAGCCTCGACTGACATGCAGTGCTTGCCTTGTGTTAATTATGGTGGTCCACTATATGGGTACAATTATTTCATCGGCAGGAAACTTTAATTGTATAGAGAACAAATTAGGAGGAAAAAAATGTCCCCAGAACTGGAATGTGTCAACTATTTTTTTCATGGGGAAGAATTTGATTATACAGTTAACTCAATGGCTAAAGTCATGCCTCCGTTTGGCATCAGATATGATCTTCTGAAACTGAAAAGGTTTTCCATTTGTGTAATTTAGTAAGAATATAGCATCACAGAAATATGCAATTAATGAAGAATAATATTATATACAGTATGTACAGATGTGGGCTTTTGAGGCAGCAATGAAGTAGGTTAATGCAAAACCATACAAGTATATAAATAACAGCAAGGTAAACAGTCCAAAAGATAAATATATTCAGATAATTATGTCACAACATTAGTATCAACTGAAATAAATATAATGGTTTACCTCCACACACAAATCTGGTAGAGCGATGGTTAAGCAGTTGCAGAATGAAGGATGAGGAGTCAAATGTTACAGAAATTCACCATACACTGCCCTCACATTTTTACTGCCATTTTAATGTGCTAAAACGCATATAATCTGTACACACACACTTATATTTATTCATGCACACAACAAATATTTGATTGTAGATTATGGCTTCATAGCTAGCAAACAGAACACTCTCAAGAACCTGGTAAAATGCATAGACTTCGAACTGAACATTCCGAAAATGCTTGATACATATTTTTAGACCAATTGGCAATTTGATGGTTAATATTCAAGAGAAAACGAAAAGAGCAGAATGAAGACTACAGATCAGAGAGTGATAGTTTTAACAAACTCAACAGGAAAAAAACAGACAAGACACTACAGTCCTGGAGCACACCTTAAGAAGATAGGCATTAAAAAATCTGGGGCCTGTAATTGTGGAGCAGATAGACTTCAGAGCATGTTCTGCATGACTGCCCTAAATACTCCTGGCAAAAGCTGTGGATCTGGCTCAAAGGAGCCACATTTCAAGAGATGTTGTGCTGGACTGGCAGTGACCTTAGATGCACCACCCTGCTTATGACTGAGATGGGACTGAATGTTTAGTATAGCTGATGTCAAATGCAAAAGATGAAGAGGAGGAATCACACCAGCCTACTTTACTTCTCAGAAAACTTCCTTGTACCCATGTAGGATTTGCTTGACCCAGACACTCAGGTCAATGAAAGAAATCTCCAGTTTGGTGAGGATTTGTGTACAAAACCATCTGGCTGGCTGGCAAGTCTGCCTCAAGTACTAGAGTCTCTTAAAAAAGTAGCATTCTCTTGGTATTTGTACTGTTTTTTGAGAGCAAACTTTGGAAGAGGTTGGGGCCTCACTACATAATATTCTCAAAGTCAGCAGTGGTTCACTGTAGCCAACCTTCATTGTGGAGATAGCACCATTTTTTTTTTCTTTGGGGTACATGTGCTAGCTGTTGTCCATGTTGACACCTTCAGGCATCAGTTATGATTAGGGAGGAGAGGGTGGGGAGGGGGTGATAGAGAGGGAGGGGCAACTTTATTCAGGTATTCTAATGAATTCTTAAATATGTGATCATCTGCTACAAGGAGTATGTATTTGACCCATGTGTACTACCATAGCCCACAATTATTAAGCAGTGGTAACAAAGAACCCTTTTCACACCAGGTGTGCAAAGAGCACATAGTGTTAGACCCATAACTTCTACAGACCCTTGGCATTTAAATGGAGTTGTGGTCAACATCGAACTGGCCCTTTTACGTTCAGGACACTTCCTGGTATTAAATTTTAGGCTGGGTTCATTTGAGAGTCCAGGACAATTATAAAAATCTTGTTGCTGAGACACCATATTACCGACCATTAGCAAGGACTTTTTAACAGCGTTGAACCAAACACCTAGTTAATCTATTGATGTGCAGAGTGCTGTGAGGATAACCCATAAACATGTCTGGGGTGTCGTGAGGATTGAATGAGTCTAGAGTGTGATGAGGATAACCCATGTTTGGGATTAGTGTGCAGCAAGGATAACCAATGGATGTATCTAGTGTGCCATGAGAATAACCCATTGACATGCCTAGAGTGCTGTGAGGATAACCCATGGACATGTCTAGAGTGATGTGAGGATAACCCATGGACATGTCTAGAGTGATGTGAGGATAACCCATTTACATGTCTATAGTGATGTGAGGATAACCCATTGACATGTCTAGAGTGATGTGAGGATAACCCATTGACATGTCTAGAGTGCTGTGAGGATAACCCATTGACATGCCTAGAGTGATGTGAGGATAACCCATTGACATGTCTAGAGTGCTGTGAGGATAACCTATTGACATGTCTAGAGTGATGTGAGGATAACCCATTGACATGTCTAGGGTGATGTGAGGATACCTCATGGATGTGCCTAGAGTGCTGTGAGGATAACCCATGGACATGTCTAGAGTGCTGTGAGGATAACCCATTGACATGTCTAGAGTGCTGTGAGGATAACCTATTGACATGTCTAGAGTGATGTGAGGATAACCCATTGACATGTCTAGAGTGATGTGAGGATACCTCATGGATGTGTCTAGAGTGCTGTGAGGATAACCCATGGACATGTCTAGAGTGATGTGAGGATAACCCATTGACATGTCTAGAGTGCTGTGAGGATAACCTATTGACATGTCTAGAGTGATGTGAGGATAACCCATTGACATGTCTAGAGTGATGTGAGGATAACCCATTGACATGTCTAGAGTGATGTGAGGATAACCCATTGACATGTCTAGAGTGATGTGAGGATAACCCATTGACATGTCTAGAGTGATGTGAGGATAACCCATTGACATGTCTAGAGTGATGTGAGGATAACCTATTGACATGTCTAGAGTGATGTGAGGATAACCCATTGACATGTCTAGAGTGATGTGAGGATAACCCATTGACATGTCTAGAGTGCTGTGAGGATAACCCATTGACATGCCTAGAGTGCTGTGAGGATAACCCATTGACATGTCTAGAGTGCTGTGAGGATACCTCATGGATGTGTCTAGAGTGCTGTGAGGATACCTCATGGATGTGTCTAGAGTGCTGTGAGGATAACTCATGAATGTGTCTAGTGTGTAGCAATGATAACCCATAGAAGTGTTTAGAGTGCCATAATAATAAATAATGGATGTGTCTAGTATGCGGCAAGGATAACCCATGGATGTGTCAAGAGTGCCAAGAGGACAACCTGTAGATGTGTCTAGAGAGCTGTGAGTATAATCCATGGACACGTTTAAGAGTGCTGTGAGGAAAACCTCATTGGTGTGTCTGGTGTGCAGCAAAGATAACTCATAGATATGTCTAGTATGTAGCAAGGATAACCCATTAATGTGTCAAGTGTGCTATGAGGATAACCCATAAATGTGTCTAGTGTGCCGTAAGGATAACACATGGATGTGTCAAGAGTGCCAAAACAATAACCCATGGATGTGTCTAGAGTGCCATGAGGACAACCCATAGATGTGACTAGTGTGCCATGAGGATAAAACAGCTCATAACACTTGGCCACTTCAGGACAAGTTCTCATGGATGGAAGAGTCTTTGAAAGTGCCATTTTAATGGAGTTGCTTTGAACATGGTAAATGTGTTTTTCCATGAAGTTAACTCTGTGAGTACCCACTGATATACACTAGTTAGTTTTATTGTACATTTCCACACTGAGACTGATAACTGAAAAATGCAAGAAAAATAGGGGGAAAAACAAATTACAAAAAAGAGAAAAAAAAAAGAAGGAAAAAAGACAACTAAAATAACAATGTAAAACATAAATTAAACTTCAAAAACAAAGAGTTTAAAATGTATTTTTAAAGAAACTGACATAAAAATAAATAAAAAAATAAATGAATAAGCTAAAGACACATAAAAAAAATTAACAAAACTAAAAACACAAATAATAAGACAAACTTAATACATAAAAAAATAAATCAAATTACAATAAACCAAACAGAACACAAAGAAACCAAATAAAAGTAAGAAAATTAACAACAAACTAAAAAATTACAGCCATAAAATAAAAAAATTACAACATTAAAAGCTCCCGCTCTGAAACAGTGTATATAGTTTAAATTCCAGCAACGAAATATCCAATGCAACATAGTGGATATATGGATCAACCATTAATTCCATCTGATAAGTCTCAAAATTTTTAAAAATATATAAAGGACCCATTTCTGCAAAAAAATGGACAAAAAGACATGACCAAGGACCTGCTGGTAAAACAAGCAATTACTTTTGAGAGTAGCTGATTGTTCATTTCAATTAAAAGAATTTATATTTTTCTTTGTTATATTTAATTGGAAAAGTAAACCAACACAGAACTTGTATTATCAGTGGCCACACACTGAGGCAGATACTGAAGATGGATCCAAACACTGAGGGAGATACTGAAGATGGAACCAAACACTGAGGGAGATACTGAAGATGGATCCAAACACTGAGGGAGATACTGAAGATGGATCCAAACACTGAGGGAGATACTGAAGATGGAACCAAACACTGAGGGAGATACTGAAGATGGATCCAAACACTGAGGGAGATACTGAAGATGGATCCAAACACTGAGGGAGATACTGAAGATGGATCCAAACACTGAGGGAGATACTAAAGATGTATCCAAACACTTATGGACTTTTCCGGTATGTGATGAAGATGAGTGGTTGATTAACTATGTGATTAGAGCATTGTTTTGCAAAGGACCTGTTCAAATGCAATTATTTAGGCTTTTACACAGTGTAACTTACCATTGACAGGGGCATCCTCATTTACTACCAATGATCCATCCCTACCCTTCCGCTCAGCTACAACAACTGTCCAGTCATTAACTATCAAAGGATTGCGACTTCTTAATACTGCTGGACCTGTAGATAAAAGAGACAATACGCTGAATGATAAATGAATACCATTGAACATGTTTGTCTGCATAAATACAGGTTAGCTACTGTCAAACTGATGACAAGAAGTGCTAAATACAACATAAAATGTGACCAGAAAGCTAAACAGAAGGTACGGACAAGACATAAACAAATACAACTAAATGTTTTGAAATCTGCTTTAAAATTCAATTTGTTTCCAGTTAGTTAGTCAAGTGATAATCCTCATGCTATGCTATCAATGTACGCAATTTTATCAATCTCAAACCTGAAGGTTGTTTTCAGAAAACAGAAAGAGTCAGCACAGAACCAGAACTGAGCTTTAATGGTAGACAACAGATCAATTGGTTTGGCCACATAACAAGACTGGCACCAGACATGGCACCACAGACAACAATGTTATACAGATGCAATGATGACAGACACAGAGGTCGATCATACAGAAGATGGACCACAGGAATATCAAAGACCTGAAAAGTTCTATTTACAAAGTGAACATAAAAGGCCTGTTCCAGAGATCGCTTCCTACCCTGATGCTGGAATAGATAAGAGAAAGAAGAAAAGAAACAGTAATTTTCAATTATTCAGAATCTACTGCAAAACTATCAAGACAAACATAATTAATAAAGTACTGGAAAAATCATAACATATTCTTACCAGAGCCAGTATCAAATCTGAATTCTAGATGCCGATCTTTGATGACAATAGCAATAAAGTCCTGGCGTCCATCTTGTCTCTGAGCATTGTACAGAATGATACCATCATCAAGAGACTTTGCTTGAAACAGTAACTGGACTCGTACAGACAGGAGCCCCTCACTTATCGTCGGGTAGGAAATGAAAGATGTTTTGTTGAATGCTGGATCTATGAATCGCACACCTTCAAAGGTAGGAGCATTTATACATAATTAAATATCAAGTACAGTAATACAGTTTGTATATAATCAATTAAATATCAAGTATGGTAACGATGCTTATATATAATCAATTAAATATTTTATCAAGTATGGCAACAAAAGTCGGCTCTGTGGCTAAGTTGATGCAACCGCTTTGTAATGCCAGGATGCCGGGTTTGATCCCAGCTGTAGGCCATGTGCCCTGTGTTGGTTTCGACAGTGGTATCAAGAAAGCGACCGTCCAGAAAGCAATAGCAAACTACTGGACGTAAATTTGCCTAGAAAAACCACACAACAGCCCGGGGCTGCTGGGGTTGGTTCTGCAACGTCCTGTAAAGGATACGCAACTAAACCATATATGGCATCAAAAAATATGTATATAACCAATTAAATATCAAGTAGTATAACACAGTTTCTATATAACCAATTAAATACTAAGTAGTATAACACAGTTTCTATATAGCCAATAAAACTTCAAGTAGTATAACAGTCTCTATATAACCGATTAAATATCAAGTAATATAATAGTTTCTACATAACTAATTAAACATCAAGTAGTATCACACTGTTTTTTTAATATAACTAATTAAATATCAAATAGTATAACACAGTTTCTATATAACTAATTAAATATCAAGTAATAAACACAGTTTCTATATAATCAATTAAATATCAAGTATGGTAACATATTTTGTATATAATCAATTAAATATAAAGTAAGGTAAAACAGTTTATGCATGATTAAATAAATATCTCATTCAGTAACAGGTGAAATAAGGGATCCTTTTTATGCCATTGGTACATTAGGCATATGACGTTAGGCTCATATTTTTTTAAGACCAGTTAGCACTAAGTGGATTATTTGGTCAACATCACACCAGCAGCCTTTACTTCCCAGGAATTTCCCGGTATCCATTTTAGATGGGTTGACCTGGGAGCCAATATGGATTTGAACCCAAGACCGCTGGGCAAGGCAGGCTAGTGTGGATTATGCTACATCTGCTCCTTCCCATATGGTAATATATGTTATATAATATCAATTAAATATCATATTAAGTATTGTAACAGTTTAGGTACAATCAATTGCACATCAGTATCAAATTGGTAGCACTTTATCTATACAGTGAATAAAATATCAATATCAAGTACTGTAACATTTTATATACAATCATTTAGACATCAAGTATGTTAACATTTTAAATAATATGAATATGTTCACAGTTTAAATAATACGAACTACATATCAATATTAAGTCTTGTAACAGTTTATTTCTAATGAATTTTGAAAAAAAATCTGGTTCTGTCAGGATCTGAAAACTCGACCTTCTGATCTGCAGGCAAGCGTCTAGCCGCTACACCACAGTGGCTACCAGCACACAATAACTCAGCTATTGTTAAACAGAATAACTAGCCCTTACGCTGAAGGCAGCCTTCCCCTGCGTAGCCAACAGGACATATGCAGTGGAATCCAGAAACTGCCGGCCAGTTAAAGCACCTTCCATGAGGTCCACATGCTCCTGGATAAACAGGCAGGAAACTTTACATGTAATTTATACTAAAGCAGCTTTTAAAATAATAATTTCATTTATGCAGCTGGTCCATCAGTGAATCAATCAGTTTGTTAACCATCTGTTATTGAAAATAGAAGTCACGAGTATAGGCAGAGAAGATTAAAAAAAAAAATTTAACATAAAGATAAACAATCAAAGTTTAAAACACATGCATGAATTTAAATACTTCGGTGCATCTTTACATACAAATAATAGACTAGAAAGAAAGATAAAATAAGAATTCAACAAGGCAATGTCATGCATCAGTTGACTCCCTTCTTGCAACACCCAGCTATTTCCAACAGAGACTAAAAGACAAATCATAAATGCAGTTGTTCTTCCAACTTTAGATTACCAATGTCAGACTTAGACATTAACTAAGGAACAGTAGAGAAACTGACAGCTCATGAAATAAGATGTTTGAGAAAGATTTAAAAACAAAAACGTGCTACAGGACCAATACCCATCATTAAATTCAATGAGAGACAAAGACAGAAACAGTTCAGCTACTCAGTGAGAATGAATCCAATAATGCTGGCACAAGAGTCTACAACATGAAAATTGAAACACCAAGAGGCTGAGGGAGATCTAGAAGAAGATGGATGAGAGAAGTCACTGACAATTTAACCCTATTTATGCCTAAATTAGTCACTTCTGGTTCTGACACATTCCCATAAATGTCAATGTATCAGCATTTCTGCAGTGACCTGTTTCTGAAAAATGTAGTGAGATGCCATTGATTGTATCTGCATCTGCACTGCTTTAATGAGAGGTTTAATCCCACCAGGACCGTACAAAGAGGGATTAACACCTGATGACACAAAGTGCCACCATTCACAGATGAGAATCCCCCAGGCGCATGTCCCAGAAACCCTGTTAAACCGTTAGGTTATATTAGGGCCCTCCAACAACAGCCAGGGTGGGGCTTTAAAATTACTAAAATTCTGAAGTGACTTTACCTTAATTGAATAACTTGATATCAGCAGACATTCCACACTCATTTGTATATGCCATGTGCAAGGGAAAACTGGTGTGAAATGACATCATGCTAGTTGTGGGGGGGGGGGGGGGGGGAAAGAAAGAGAGCAGGAAAATCTCAGATAACAAGGCAGAGAGAAACAGGAGTTGGAAATGGCTTGGCAGTAAGGAAGGTAGGAGGCTGTGGACAAACAAAACAGCCAGAACCACAGTTTATAGTCTGTCTTTGCCCGGCTCTCTAGCGAAGTTGGTTAAACCTGACGTTCGCGGCGGCCGGGTGACAAACTCCTTGTGGTCCGGGTTCACTCCCGGGGGTAGGCAGAAAAGCCACATTTCTCCCAGATTAACGGTACCTATAATGGAATCAAGGCCGAAGGGTTGCGATATCCATTGTACCGAGCCAAAGGGTTTACAACTCATGGTTTCTGGATACGTAAAAAAAAAAAAAAAAAAAAAAAAAAGACTGTCTTTAGTGTCGGTAATTACCACATTTAAGAGCAGTCTGGGACTGGAGGGATCTTGAGTCTGAGTCTGTACTGTGGAAGTTTAAAATTAATCAAGCATCAAGACATCAACATTACAGGAACTCAGGTGGATATACAGTCTTGAATATACAGGAGTGCGAGAGAATTAAAGAGCAGATTTTCAGGCCATAAAAGCAATTGCTATGGAAAAACTTGTGCAGGACAAAATAGACATTCTGATCATCATTTATGAGTGAATGCTGATAAAAGACATGAGGTTAGATGAAATAACATGTGTAAGAATGTGCAATTGAGAAATTAGGTGTGGATCTGGCATGGAAGGGCATATAAGATGAAGAGAATGATGTGTGTATAAACATTGTACTGCAAGAAAGTTGGCATCTACACCTGAAGTCATTTGCTGTGGCAGACGGAGCACCTGTTAGATCAATAATCAGAGCCTGAAGATTTAGGGCTGCATGATTAAGGCAGTCAACATGGACTGTGCAGGTTAGCATGTTTTTTTCTGCCCATGATGAAAACCTCCATCACCTTACAGAGGATCAAACCTGGGTCACTCAGACAGCCCATTGTTCTAGCTGCTTGGCCCCACTCCTTACAGCTCACAAACTGCAAGGAAAAATAAACAAGAAGCAGAAGTATCATACCTTGGTAACATCTTTTCCCAATCAGCTCACACTTAAGACCAGCAAATCCTTGAGGACAGTCACAAGCAAACCCATAGCGGCTGTTCTCCGGTCTGCATGAGCCTCCGTTCTCACAGGGACTGTCCTGACAGACCTTATACTGCTCAACGGATACAATCTCTTGGGCTTCGGCACCAAGGTTGAGGTTAACACCTTTCACTTTGAATTCACTAATGCCCCCTGAAATAGACACAAATAAATATTTCATCAGCATTATCATCTCATCATCATCATCATCATTCATGTTGTGCCATTAAATATCCATTCTATTCCTCAATTCTGTTCCATCCTGTGCAATCCCTTTGATGTCATGGATGATATTCAGCCCAGCACCTTTGGCTTCTCTCATCAACATTCCTTTTAGGGTTTCTTCTGGACGTCCTCCCTTCCTCAATCCTTTTATTTTCAATTTAGTATCTGTTTGGTGTTCTCTGCTTATTTCTTCTCAGGATGACTCCAATATCGTACCATCTTCTTTGTCTTATAACTGTTGTTACAAATGATTAACCAGACATTTTACTGACTTTTTCACCCCTTTAGAATTCATCCCATTTTATGTTCATTTACCTCAAGCATTGCTGGTCCCAAACCCAGGTGAGAAAGGAGGAGGGTTAAGCATGGGGTTAGCACCCCCACCCTGTTCAAGTTTTCTTTTTTTTTAATCTTCAGAAACTTCAGGAAAGGATGCCATTCTGGTAACATAAATATTTTAACAGAGCTAAATACATCATAAAGGAGCAATGGTGGCATAATGGCTTAATGCAAGCCTACTTGCCAGAAAGTACTGGTTCAGATCTGCATATAGTTGGATTTTTTGTCTCTTCAAAACTTAACTGAGCTCCCAGTTTGACCCAGCTTAAAATGAGTACCAGTCAGTTTCTGGGAAATTAGAGTTAACAGTATAATGTTGACCACATAACCTGTCGAGTGTTGACTGGTCTATTACAAATGAGTCTAGTATCATAGACAAATACACAACCAGCATAAAAAGTTTTCTTCACTTTACTTAAAGTAGGACAATCTGTGACTAGAGAGCTCACCAGAGGAAATGGAAAAGACACACACACACCTGCACATTTGAGCCAGTCTTCATCAATGGAATACTGAAAACACCCCAGACTGTGGCTAGAAAACTGGATGGACAAGATAACAGACTTTGTAAAACAAATAAGTTCAACATGAACCCAGAAAAACATGATAGAAGAAAATATACACGTGAAAGGCTATAATATGGAATGAAACAAATAAGAATCAAGATATGGTTTTACAAAAGAATGCTTAAAATTCTTTGGACCACCAAAATAAGTAATGCAGATGTTCTGAACGAGGTGAGGACTCTATTACTAATAACAGAACGGGCAGTCATTATTTTTGACAATATTATGTGAAGAGAGAAACTGGAAAATGTTGTGAGCACTGCAAATATTTCTATCAAAAAGGACAGAGGAAGACAATGTGAGAAGATTCTAGACAGCCTTTTAATCAGAAATCCATTAGAAAGCCACCAAAACTGGCACAAGATGATTACCATATTATGGACAGACCAGAGCTAGTTATTATTCTACGCCTTAGAAAAAGACACAATCGATTTCACAGCCATATGTACACAAAATTTAAAATCAGCGAATCAGCAATGTGCACAAGTGTATTGGCACCTGAGACATCAAATCACATCCTCTAAGACTGTTCCAAATACAACATATCAAGGCAAAACTTTTGGCCAAGAAAAACATCGGTGCAAGTCAAACTTTATGGGTCGCTCAGTGAATTACAACAGACAGTGAAGTTCATACTAGAGACAACATTGCAGATATAGATAATCTATTTCAAGCGAACAAAAGAAGAAGAAGTCCTTTGTCATGGCACGTAGCACTGTCAGCACATAAACTGACACATTCTGTTGGAGATGAGAGGTTGGGGAGAGGCATGGCTGGCCAGCCACACTACTCTCCAAGGTTCTTGATGCTAATAGTGACAGACGTGTTGCCTTACCAACAAAACCTCCTGTAAATCTGGCACTGGGAGGTATGGTAGTTGTGTTGGGCACATTGCCAAGATACAGTGGCGTTGCCAGGTCCAGGCCCTGGAAATCTCCTGCAGACTCTCCCCGGTAGACAGGCTCATCGTTGACCACCATGGTGCCTGAGGAAAATAACCATTCATTACACACACAAATTCTTCTACAAATGTGGTTTCCTATTAGATAAGACCCCATTTATTTTCAAAGCCTGCCAGGGATCTCTTATATTTTTAATGTTTTTTTTAAAAATCTGTATTCATCATGTGGCAGGTCCTTTTGCAGAATGATGTTCTCATCACTGCCTGCCTGAAAGAAACTTGGTCTATCTCCAGCTCTTCCACCTCATGGACCAAGGTGTCACTTATTTCATGTGTCCATCTTTGTGCTGGTCGGCCTCCGCTCTCTTTCCTGGTGCCATGTCTTCTGCTATTATTCTTCATATTTCAGTTTCTGAGACAAGATGCTGTTTATTAGCCATTCTTCTTTGTTGGTCATATCTTTTAGGATGCCAGTATTTCTTTTCTTCTTGGTCCATGACATTATAACCATCTTTCTATAGCATTTCAGCTCAAAAGCCCAGATTTTCTCCCTTAATGACTGCAAGGTAGTCAATGACTCACATTCATATGTCGCTACAGGGAAGATACATCCCTAAAAAATGTAGCATTAATTTCCTTGCTGGTGCTTAACCATAAACGTTTATAATGCTGTTGAATTTTTGCACTGCTATGGTCATCCTTTTTCATTCTTTCTTAAAATCGCAAACAAGAGTGTTGAGCTTTTTTTCCCTGCAAATTATATCAACGGACCCCCTTAAATTTGTTCTGTGAACCTCCAGGAGTCATTGACTACCAACTGGGAACCACTATTCTAAAGCATCACCATTATCGGCATCATCCTCATCTACTACATAATCATAATTTGCTTGTTTTGCTTCAACATCAACATTTGTCACCTCACTTAAAGATGTATAGTTCTCTGATATTTGAATTTTGTTGGGACTATTTTACATTTACCATTTGTAGTATGCTTAGCCAAGCCTAATGTTTGTATGAGTTTTGTATTGCGTGAATGATGTTAGACCTATCTGGGACTGCCTTACGCATTGATTGTGTGCACATGGATATTTCTGGATTTTGCAAGTCTAACTAGTAGTGAGGGGTTGCTGCGATTAGCGGCTAGATGCTCATGTGTGGATCTGAAGGTCGGGGGTTCGCTCCCTGGAGGAGCCAGACTTTTTTTTTTTTCAGAAATGACCATGACTCCCAGGTAGACCCAGCCTTGAATGGGTACCGGGTGCAGTCCCTGGAAGTAAAGGCGCCCCGCATGATGGTGACCACATCACCCATCTTGTGTCGATTGGTCTAAAAAAATATAGGTCTAGCCCTATTTGCCCGATACGCCTAATGGCGTGGAAAAAGGATCTTTACTTTTGTTTAAACTTAAAAGTAGTGACGGATATTTCGTGTTATTTTTATTGACACACTAGCAAAACAATTATGAATTGAACCATTTGGAGAAAAGGTGAAAACGACTACCTACCTACATAACTATAAGACATATCATCATAATCAAGTGCCTTGCCAACTGGTGGAGGTGATCACACCTCTCCACAGTCTGTGATCTTCAACAGCATGTATCAGTTTGTGTGTTGACACCCCTCCATTCCATGACAAAGAGCTGTCAAGAATCATCTGATGTTGTCTTCCTTTGCTTTTTTCCCCCGCACATCTTTCCAGTGGTCACAATATGTTCCAGTTTCCTTCTTCTTATAACATGACCAAAAATTATGACTATCTTTCTGATGCTTGTGAAAAGCTGTCTTTGGACCCTTGCTTTTTTTTTTTCAAACTTGTGAATTGTTCTGTTTTTTTTTTTTTTTTTTTTTTGCTGTCCAAAGAAATTTAAAGATTCTTCTGTAAAACCACATTTATTGATTTCCAGGATTCACAGCCATTTATTAAAACTGGCTTTATACAGCATGCAAGAATTCTTTTTCTAACCTCCAGTGACATGCATGTAAAATGTTCTTCATTTGATAAAATATAGTTTTAGCCTGTCCTATTCTGTTCTTTGTCTCTGTCATACCTGTTCCACAGGATGTTTTCCAAGTTGCGAGAATACTTAAATTGTTACACCTATAGACATTCAAATCAGACCTCTGTGATGTAATAAACACTGTTAGGACAAACTCTATATATACTGTATAGAATATCTGACATGTAACTATATCATCTGTCAAGAGCTGCTTGGTCTATAAGAAATCTTGGTCAGCACCTTATGCATACCTAATACACCTATGGCATGATAAATGTCCTTTACATTTTTACTTTTCCTTTGAAGTCAGAGTGGATGTGCCTGAGAGGTGAGGAACCAGTAGTCTGCATAAAAATAAGCGAGACCTGTAAAATGGATGTGCATGCAAAAAGTCCAGTTCTGAAACAAGACCAAAGTCCAGAAGTGAACGAACAACCAGAACTTTCTGCCGGAGTTTACAGCCTGTGAACGCAAGGAAGAAGACTTTTTACTTTATGAAATATGTCTGTGGCTTAGGCATTGCAAATGCCCTTTGTAATTTTCTGATACCCTGTTCAACTTCAGCTGATGGTGATTTGGCATCTGACTGTTTTGCACTTGTTTTGACAATGGAATTGAGAGCCAACTGTCCAGGAAGCTATGGTAATCTACTTAACATAAAGTTACCTTGTAAAACCAAACAGTAAAAAAAAAAAAAAAACTTGGCTGATTCCGCAATGCCCTGTAAAGGATACACAACTTACAGAATATGCCAATACATGTTGCAAGAGACACAAGGAACAACCAGCCAGTTGACAAAAGAAGAAAGTGACAAAATGAAAGCCAAACTGACCATTCTTTCTATTGCGTCTCAGATGTACAGTGTGCCATTTGTTTAAATCCAGTTGTTGTGCACCCCTGATTGTGGCCGCTCCAGAGCCCATATCAAATCTGAAACAAAGAATGAAACAATGTGAAAAAAGACTTGTTAAGGTCACATGTTGTAAGTGGTAGACTACTTACCTAGGAAGACTACTACTGCACAAAAAGAATGAAACAATGTGAAAAAAGACTTGTTAAGGTCACATGTTGTAAGTGGTAGACTACTTACCTAGGAAGACTACTACTGCACAATCAACAACACTACTTTCATTAACTAAATCAACCCCCCCCCCCCCCCCCCTTTTTTTTTTTTACAAAAAAAACCACACTCCCCTTTTCAAACAACCACCACCATCACAAACACCCCTACAACCCACCACCACAACCACCCTGACAGCCCACTATCATACCCCACCATTATAACCACCACCACACCACACCAACACCATCACAACCTACCATCACAACCATCATCATAACCACAACCCACCACCACAACCATCCTGACAACACACCATTACACTCACCACCACCACCATACCCCACTATTACAACCACCACCACACCCAAACATCACAGCCACCACCACCACACCCAAACATCAAGCCACCACCACCACAACCAAACAACACAGCCACCACCACCACACCCAAACATCACAGCCACTACCACCACACCCACACATCACAGCCACCACCACATTCTATCCTCACAATTACCCCACACAATCACAACTACCACCTATGTAACTGATAACACAAATGTGTTGCTTGGGGCACATACAGTTATATATAAATTATGACACACTTTAACAGAAGAACAAATACTGTAATTTACTATAATAATTCAACACACACATCAGTTAAAAGGTGCATACTACTTTTACAATCACAATTATTTAAAAAGAACACTGAAAATATATGAAACTAAAAAGAAGCAGTTTCATCCACCAGGCCCAACAACTCTGCAGGCAAACCAATGATCTGCCTACAACTAATAGCCCCTTAAAGGCTATTCCAGATCAGACCCCTCGGAAAGAGGATTATGAGTTGCAAACACACATCCAAACAGAAGTGAATGGAGTATGGACAAAGAAGAACAAAACAGTGTGCAGTGTAAAACAGTCACCCTAGCTTTACTTGATGATGAATACACACATTATCTTTGGGTTCCTGTCTATATGGGTTAGCACAAAATGCAAGCAGAAATGGAGGAGCAGGAGTATATACTGAGCATCCAAATAATATCAGAAGCATCAGCCAAAATACCTATAGGAATGCACTGTCATAACTATGCTCCAGAAGTTCAAGATGTCAAAATAGCAGCAGAGAAACTGTTAAATATACGTCATATTTCCCAACCTGTGGTATTTCTGACAGATGCAAGAGCGGGTGCTTCAGGCACTCCAATCTGCAAAACTACCTGGTATACGAACACTACTCTCCAAACTAGGCAGCCGATGTAAAGTAACTATGCAATGGATACCATCCCACTGTGGAGTTCCTGGAAATGAAAGAGCTGATAAACTAGCAAAAGAAGGTGCAACTGAAGAACAACCTGAAATACCAGTCTCTTATCAACAACAAAAAGAGAATAATCAAATCAATCAGAAGGCCACCAAAACCGCCACATGACGATTACCATTTTATGGACAGACCAGAGCAAGTTATTATTCTATGCCTTAGAACAGGACACAATCAACTTCGCAGCTACATGTACACAAAGTTTAAAATCGGCAAATCAGCCATGTGCAAATGTGGACTGGCACCTGAGACAACAGATCATGTCCTCCAAGACTGTATCAAACACAACATATCAAGGCAAAACTTTACAAAACAGTGCAAGTCAAACTTTACGGGTTGCTGAGTGAATTAAAAAAGACAGCGAAGTTCACACTAGAGACACAACATTGCAGATATAGATAATCTATTACAAGCGGACGAAAGAAGAAGAATAATAAACTTGACAAAATATATTTCTACAATTTGTTACAATTAATACATAATCTATACAATGTTAAAAAACCAAAAGTAATTTAAACAGGACATTGTTGTTCTAATACTATTACTATTACTACTATTAATACCACCACCATCATCACCACTGCCACTATTATTACATTCCCAGAAGAAAAGGAGAATCCCTGTCAAAAAAAAAGACTACAGTTAAAACCAAAGCTTCACTAGAAGTAGGGCTGAACACAGTCACATTTTATTTTTTATGTCCAATAAGCAAAACAAACTACTACTACTTCCACAGACCTAAACTCTGGGTACTGCTCCTGTAGACCAAAGCAGACAAAATCTCCAGCCCCAGTGACGTACTGACCATTGTAGAACACTAAGCCATCAGTGGCCTCCGGTCGAAATGATACAAGAATGTCCAGTTCAAGATAGGCATCTTTCAGTGGGGGAAAACTCATGTAGGATATCGGGTTTTGTTGGAAGTAGGGAACAAATGCTGTGGACGACCAAAAAAAATGAACATGAGAAACATTACAGCAATAAGGCTCAGAGTCACACAAGAATCATGTCGTGAAAGAAAAATAAACAGCAAATGAAATGTATAAATATATGCAATGTAAAATGTAACAAAAGTTACACAATCAAATAAGGTTCAATGCTGTGAAACAATCAGGACCCTTATCATCATCCTCCCATTATGCTGTGTAAACATCATATAATCATCATCATCAAGTGCCCAGCCAACAGGAGACGCTCATGCATATCCGCAGATCACGATCCCTGGTTGCCGGGAACAGCTCTCTTGATACTATCCCCCCATGCCATTGTTTCAACCTATTCAGCATCATCTCTCTTGGTCTGCCTCTACCCCTTTTTTCACTGATCTTTCCAGTTGTCATGACGTTCTCCAATGTCTCTCTTCTCATTACCAGGCCAAAGAACATGTTTGTCTCTTTTCTTATTGTTGTGTATAGAGATCTACTTTAATTAGCTTCTTTCAAACAATCGTTGTTAGTTATTCTGGTTGTCCAAAGTATTTGTAACATTTGTCTCAGAAACCACATCTCTGTTGCTTTCAAATTCTTCTTAACTTGTTCAGTGACAGATCAATAATATTCCCTAACAATCCCTGTACAGTAGTTGAATTAGTATGGTCTGTTTGAATGTGTAACACTAGTGACATTTCAAAATTACATTACCACCCCTTGGGCCTCTGATGCTTAACCTAAACCCCCTGGGACTCATCAAAGAGTTAAAAACTGAGACACACTAAAATCAAAAATACATAATTTGGTTATTAAGGTACTTTAGCATGAGATGGGCTGAAAGAGTCTTTTATGCTTTTAACCCATGATTACAGAGTGTGTTGAAGACATTACAGCTAATGTTTACATTGTGAATATGACATGTGATAAATCAACTGATCTTCTACGCATTCTTCCACATTCTGAACCCTTGAGGTTCACAGCTGCCAGTATCACCTGCAGCCATTCATGTCTGTGACTGGCTTTCTCTTTCCAGTTGGTGACTCCCATGTGTTTGCAGATCTGCCTGTACATTATCTCTTCATGATCTTCTTGGTCTACCTCATGATCCACTCCCATTCAACTCTTTTGGGTATGCAGTTTTTTGGTCTTTGCATTATCTGCAATTTTCTCTATATGCCCCAGCTATCACAATCTTTTAGCCCTCATAATTCTTGCCAGTAATTAATGATGATTTAAACAGACTGTGAATTTTATTGCTGCTTCTCACTTTACATTCTCCACTGTTTGCATTTTGGATGGGTTCAAAGATTCATCTTAAGACATTGATCTAAACATTATAAAAAAGAAAAAAAAAAAAAAAATTGCATGATACATGACTGCAAAAAAAAAAAAACTCACCTCCAATGAACAGCACAACGGGATAACTAGTGGTTCCATACTCGTTGCTTGCTAGGCAGCTGTAGGTACCAGCATCTTCCTGCTTTACCCTGGGTATATGTAGCTCTCCATTGTCCAGCACTGAATGCTCACTGAAGAATCAGATACACTGGTCTTAGCCATTTGTTTAGGAATGTAGAATGTTGATTATAAATTAACATCATAACACTTGGGACATTCCCATAAGCACTACATCCCTATCTTCAGCAGCAAGTGCTGAATTTCAATTATAATGGCATCTGTAACAGTCTGATTGTATAGTCACCTCACCTTTACCTTAACTCTTTGAGTCCCAAGGAACGCATGATACGTTCATAGGTTCCTACCTAGAAGCCCAATGAACGCATGATGCGCCGATTTTATTACTTTTTTACTACCCCCTGGGCCTGTGATGCTAAACCCCCCTGGGACTCAAAGAGTTAAGTGTTGAGGATTGGCCATATTACCCAGTCACTCCTCGCAGTGACCATCAAAGAACAAAATGCATGGTATCTGTCTTACACTCAAATAACTATTATATTGCTGTTTTGTCAGATTGGACTGGAAGGGGAGGGGGTTGTAAGTGTCTGTATAATATCTTTGTATTTTTTATGTTCATCCAAATCTGTAATTGCGTTGTGTCCATTTACAGCATAGCTATGACATGTGCAACCTTTGGGCGACACATCCCACTTGTGCAGGCATTTGTTGACCAGGTTAGTCTTCCTGAGTATGTATAATCAAAAAAAAAAGCACATCACTTCATTATATATACATATTTTGCTCTTCAGATGTTTCAGAAACTGTAGCCAGTTTCACTTTTTTCACTGTCATATTTGTGCTCAGCCCCTTGAAATCTGTGAGGAAAAGCTATTTTTATCTCAGTGCCATGACTTTCATCAAATTTCGTTGTCCAGTGTAATTATCTCTTTCATGTCACCAGCCATATAGGTGATTCGTCATTTCTTAACTTTTAATTACCCTATTTCTCCATGTTAAGACAATATATATTTATTTATTAAATTTTTAATTTGTGGCTTGCTTTATACATGGAATGTGTTCAAAATTTTTTATTTTTTATTCTGGGCTAAAACAAAGTATGCGTCATCTTATACATGTTGTGGCAGCTCATACATGAAAAAAATTCGGAAATTTAAATTATAAATATTTTCTTGTAGCAGCTCCCAAAAGTGCACTTGGAAAGTGCATGTGAAGCCTAAAGTGCTCCACAAGAACCAGTTGGGATTTGCTGGTCTAGCTTCTTATGCCCCAGGCACCACCAGTTCAACTCTTTCAGCTCCAAGCAATGATGTATGTGTTGATGAGAAGTTCTGATTTGCCCAAACAACACAGTCTGCATCGATCATGTGTTCCGCATACATTGATTCACATACTGTTCCATAACAGTTTTTAATGTTTGAAACGCTATTCAAAATATTCAGAGAGGGTTACTGTAACGTTTTTGTTTGTTTACAAGTCTTTGTGTATACATTTAGGGGCACAATTATCAAATTTTTGTTTATCAAAGTCTGTTTTTTCAGACAGTAAATTTTCCGATTACGTCTTTGACTGACCATGGATACCAAAGTTCAACGCATAAGTTCAGGTCACAGAATGAATCTCTTAATAAGTTGACTCTTACCACATGCTTTTGGGTAGGCAGTGGGTCTATTCATGTTTTCCCCACACAGGGGCCTAGAACCCACACAAGGAGGACAGATATTGTTTTGATAATTCTTGAAAGTAATGCTCCTTTGGACCCTTTGTCATTTAGAGTGGATCTTAGATATTTTAACTGACTAACTTCTTCTAGTCTGTGACCTTTAACATATTTACATGTGTATTATTACCAGCTGGATATACATGCAAGTTTACTGAATACAAAAACTTACTAAGGAAGGTCACCATCTTCCTTCATCCAGGAAATCCTTGGCCGAGGGTAGCCTGAAGCATCACACCTCAGTTGTGCTGGTGTACCTACTGCTGCAGTGACGTAATCTTGTTGGGGCGGAATTACTGGTCGACCTTTGATAGAAACAGATACATTCCTGATTGAATCTTAACATTTGGAAACTACAGATGTGCTGAAGACAAAAATAATTGATTATTGTATGCATATGTTTGTTTGTGTGGGGGAGAGGGGAGACAATATAAGTAGTATTGGAGGCAAGGATAACCTGTGTGTGTGTGTGTGTGTGTGTGTGTGTGTGTGTGCATGCAAGTTTGTGTGTCGGGGATGGGGTGGGGTGTGTGTGTGTGGAGGATAAATAAACATAGTGCTGGAGGCAAGTATTAGTGTGTGTGTGTAGGGTGGGGGAGGAGGGGGGGGGAAGGGGGGGGGGGGGGCTACAGATGTAGTGCTGAAAATCAGAATGATTTTGTGGGTGTATTCATGTGTGCGTGTGTTTATGTAAGGGGTCAGAATATGTAGGTGGTGGAAGAAAGGATGCTTGTGTGTGTCTGTGTGTGTCACAGGCAGGCAAACTTTAAAAAAAAAAAAAATGTCAAAACCTTCTCCTTGTTCAATTCCTCTTTTACTGTTTCATGTATTGATGGAGATACAGTTCTTTTTCTTGCTTTTCTAGCCATCTCAACCACAGACACATCATACTGGTGTAGAATTTCTCTGATGTTATCTTTCCATCTTGTTACTGGTCTGTCTCGCACTCTGCGTCCCTCTTCTCTTTTCATTTATGCCTTGTATGGTATGGTCTCACAAGTCATTCTCTATAAGTGGGCAAACTATTTCATTTACTGACTTTGTATTAGTTTATAATTGATCCTGTGCTGACTGTTTGTTGTTTGTTATGACTGCATAGCGGATATATACTAGCCTCAGGAGGGAAGGTCATGGGTTTAAATCCGCATCAAGTCAGATTGAAAAAAACACAACTTGTAAGTAAAGGCAGGCGGCATGATGTTGACCACATCACCCACAGAGTTTCTAATCAGTCTATAAAGTATAGATCTACGACTATATTTATACCCATAATGTCTATTGGCATGATAAAGTCCCTGCATTTTTGACAGTAGTACAGAGAATGTGTGGGAGACCGTGGGTGGGGAGTCATAATGTACAATATTACTTTCCTTAAGCTGATGACACTGTCTTGAGAGCAACAAGTCACGAAAAGATAGATACTGTATAGAAAGTTACAGAATGGGTCTAAGCTTGAATAACAGAAAGATAAAAGTAATAATAATATCAAAGACAAGAAATGTAACTCAATGTACAATTAGAGTACACAGCGTTCACTTGGGACAAAGTTTTTAAAAAAAAAAAGAAAAAAAAGAAATAAAAAAAAAAAAGAAAAGACAATTCTTGGATGATATATAGAGCCAGTTTCAACACAAGGTTGTGAATCCTAGACAATTTATGATTAGTGAGAATTTCCATCATAGAATAAACACTGACATATTAAAAGATCTGAACATCAAGGAAGATTGGCCAATAAACAGCATCTTGTCTCGGAAGCTGAAATATTTTGGTCATATCAAGTGGAAAAAATAATAGCAGAAGGCATGGTACCAGGAAGGAGGGGCAGGGGATGACCAGCATAAAGACTGGCACAGGATATAAGTGACTCCTTGAATATGAAAGTACATGAGATGAAATGGGAGATCTAGTGAGAGGCCAACTTTCTTACAGTCAGACCGTGGTGAGAGCGATGTTCTGCAAAGGACCTACTACACAATGATAATCACATACCACTTTGGACAGTTCCATAGGTGCTCTGATTTGCTCAGATTCTTGACAGTCTTTCATCATTGCACAGAAGGGTGTCAGAACTGGCACATACTGTTAGAGATTGTAAGTTGTGGCAAGACATGATCACCCATGTTGGACAACAAGGCATTTGAGATGGTAAAAAAGTTGATGACTTACTGGAAACTTCAAGTCGAACTTCCGACTTGACGGTGCCAGCTTCATTGGTTGCAGTACATTGATAGGTGCCAGCATCTTCTTGTCTCACTTCAGGAATGATGAGTGTGCCTTCTCCTATGATAGAATTCCAGGGCAGAGGCCCTTCCGCCTTGGTCCATGTCACTCTGGGAGTGGTGCTACCTGATGTCACAATAACAAGAGATAAATCAATCAAAAATGTCCCTGTGTGGGTTCTGGGGCCCTAATTTAGGGGTGAGATGAATAGACCCACTGCCCCCCCCCCCCCCCCTTTCCGAAACAGGTTGTAAAAGGTGATTCATCAAGTTGTTTCCTTTGAAGTCAAAGTACATCTGCCTGAAAGGTGAGCAATCAACAATCTGCATTGCATACACATGAGCCAGATCTGTAAAATGGATGTACAGGCAAAACTCAAATTCTGGAACAAGGCCAATGTCCAGAAGTGGATGAACATCCAGAATTTTCCACCAAATTTTATAACCGGTGAACAATAAGCAGATTAAGAGAAGCAAAACAAATAACAAGCTGTTGTCCCTGCAATGTAGGTTGGCTGCTACGGATCTACAACATTTTTTAAATCCAGTTCTCTGTCCAGTTTTGCAAGAAAGCAATCAAAATACACACACAACATGGGATTTGGCAGCTCTTTATCCTTACAAAAATCTTTCTCGTGTGGGTTCTAGGACCCCTTTGTGGGGAAAAGAAGAGACCCACTGCCTCCCCAACAAACATGTAAGAGTCCACTAACTGGGGGGTGTGGGGGGAGGAATTTCTTCCTTCGAAGTCGGGGTGCATCTGACTGAGAAACAAGGAAACAACAATCTGCAGACGATTAAGTCAGATCTATAAAACAGATGTGTATGCAACACTCAGGTTCCAGAACAAGACTAAAGTTCAGGGGTGGACAAACAACCAGAACTTTCTGCCAGAGTTTACAGATGGTGAACACGAAGAAAAAGAAACCAATCTAAAGACAGACACTGTTCTGAGTCCAGCAGGAAGGCCAATCCAGGCAATAAATACCTTAAGAAGTTGGTTTTGTCAGCCAAAAGACACAAATATCGCTACCATACTGTAAATGAGCACATAATAATAATATCCTCAGACTAATATAGAAGCAGAAACTTGGGTCAAATTTGACTGTATGAGTTGCCCAGTCCAGACAGCCTACTTTTCTTCTTCTTTTATCCTGCTATTCATGACAATTGTCACCCAAGTGATGTGGTTATCTATACAGATGGCTCTGTATTGAGTGGCAGACGTGCATGGGGTTTCATAGCAAAGGTGAATAGATGTCACCTAGTGCAGCAAAGCCTTGCATATGATATCACAATGTCTAGTTTGAGAATGGAGGCGGAGGCAGTCTCTGCTGCTTTCCACTGGCTTGAGAATCAGCTGTACCCACATTCTGTGATTGTAACTGACTCACAGAGCATGTTGAGAAAGGTGAAAACAGACATGCTTCATGAAGAGTGGCAAGCATCACTTCAGAGGTCCCAGGTAGTTAGCATCCTATGGATATTTTTTCCAGGTATACTGGTGTGTTGAGCAGGCAGAGAGACTGGCTGGCTCTGCACCACTTGGTGGTGAATTGAGGTATGACAAGTTAGATATTGTGAGGGCTCTTTGGGAGTGAGTAAACAGTGCAGAGGTGCAGATAGATCAATATGTTATAAGGAGAATGGCGCTGTGAGGAGTTACCAGAGGATCTGGCCAATGCTCAACACTCAGGGAAAGGATGAGACGGATATACAGTCAGAGGGTTACTGGTAACATCAGAATTGGAACTCTTTGCTTGCTGCTGAAGATGAGGACTGAGCACTTATGGGAGTGCCCCAAGTGCTGTGATGTCAATTCTTAATTCAACATATCTTTTTATCCTGCTACTTATACCATTTAACAACACATAGAGGAGTAAGGATCCGTTTCTTGTCATATGTTAGTTGTGTAGCTTGTGTTAATGTCATACTGTGTTTCTGAAGTCTCTTTTACTCCCTTTACCAATATCTTTCTTGGTAGGTCTCTTGACCTGTAGCCTGTTGTTCTCATGTGGCACACTCTAGCTGCCGAGTGATTTTTTTTCTGTTCTGACCAGATGACCAAATCTTTTGATTTTTTAAATGTGTCATAAAATCATTTACTGGCGCACTTCTTATCATGTAGAATTACTTCAGTTGCCAGTATCTCTCTCACTTCTGTTCCTCTCATCTTCAGCACATCACAAACAAGTGGTAAAGTCAACAAATACCTGTCACCACACACTCCAGCTCCACTCGGTCACCAACACCAACTCTTTGAACACCGGGGTCAGGTTCCACGTCTGAAGAAGGTTGGAAAAAATGTACACAAATTGATGTTAAAAAAAACAAAAACAAAACATATAGCTACTGAAAAGAACATAATTTTCTCCTAATTATTACATTTTACAGTTTTCTAATTTAACAAGAGAAAGTGTTCAAACTGTACACAAGAATACCATAGGGTTCAGTCAGTTTAACCCTAACTGTACACAAGAATACCATAGGGTTCAGTCAGTTTAACCCTAACTGTACACAAGAATACCATAGGGTTCAGTCAGTTTAACCCTAACTGTACACAAGAATACCATAGGGTTCAGTCAGTTTAACCCTAACTGTACACAAGAATACCATAGGGTTCAGTCAGTTTAACCCTAACTGTACACAAGAATACCATAGGGTTCAGTCAGTTTAACCCTAACTGTACACAAGAATACCATAGGGTTCAGTCAGTTTAACCCTAACTGTACACAAGAATACCATAGGGTTCAGTCAGTTTAACCCTAACTGTACACAAGAATACCATAGGGTTCAGTCAGTTTAACCCTAACTGTACACAAGAATACCATAGGGTTCAGTCAGTTTAACCCTAACTGTACACAAGAATACCATAGGGTTCAGTCAGTTTAACCCTAACTGTACACAAGAATACCATAGGGTTCAGTCAGTTTAACAGATATTTTGCATCTGGGTCATTGAGAGTTTTCAGGTTTACAGGCTTTCTTGTCAACTTATAAAAAGTCGTCATTGGTTATCTAAGTTTTTTTTTTTTTTTAAATTTCAACAAAATTAAAATAATGGTCTTACATTTCAGTGACAGTGACTGGCAGGCCCAGAGAGAGATAATGATGCATCGAGAGGTGATGACACACTATGATAGCCATACAGAGAGACAGCTTTATAAATTGATAGTAATAGTGAGAAACAGAGATACTGAGAAAAAAATTACACAGAATAATAGTAATAGCAAGAAACAGGGACACATATATACAGTGATAGAGAGAAACAGTATTACAAAATTACATAATACCGAGAAACAGAGAAACAATAACACAGAATAACAATGATGCAGAGAGAAGATGACACACAGAGAAAAGGTGCCATAGAGAGAAAGTGGGACATAGCCACCGACACTAAGACATTTAGGGAAATAGAGAGACAAATATACAGAAATACAATCAGATAGACAGGCACAGTCAGACAGATAGATAGGAACATATAGATATATTCAGAGATAGATAAAACATCTCTGGTACTCATCTGAGGAGTCTGGGAGAACTTTAGAGCAACTCATCACTACATCTATGAACATGCTGAAGAAGGTATAGACAGGATTGGTTCAAAGACAACGGTTGGAGTCTATGAGGAAATATCGTCTGACAGGAATAAGTTTCATTTTGTGCCAGGTTATTCTGGAGTAAGAGGGAATGACTGTGCAGACTGGCTTGCTGGCAGGGCCTTAGTAGGCACAGGAAAAGAAATGGATGATTTTCTCAACACGCTCAGAGAGGCAGGATGAGTAGATGATTCAGGAAACAACATTGAATCTGCAACCCGGACAAGATTACAAGAATTTATGTCAAAAGAGGTTGTCACTAGATATGAAAACTATACAAGCAGCCGATAAAAAATAGTAAATCAACATAGAACTGGTGTTTTATCAGTCACCACACTCTGAGGGAGAAACTGAAGATGGAGTTTGAGCACTAATGGACTTATCAAATTTTCGATGAGGATGACTGATCGATCAACTAACTACTACTACTAGCAACATAAGATAACAAAAAAGGTAACAAAATATGGTACTTACCACGAACCACAAGTACACTGTAGTCTGTAACTGTGCCAGCTTCACTGGCTGCCTTACATATGTATCTGCCGGAGTCACTAGGCTGGGCATTGTAGATTCTGCATAAAATAGCAAAGTATTAGCTTATTCTGGTAGTAGTAGTGATTCAAACTACGTTATCCTGTTCAACTCATCTGGGTTATAGTTGATACTTATCAATTATTTTGGGTTACTGAATACTGAATATCTTGTGAATCAACTGTATAAGACTGTAGGAGTTTATATTTATAGGTTTAATGCATTTTAAGTAACTTTTCAAACAATTATAATAATCACACTGTGCAATCTATTTTTGCATGGTATTTAAAGTGATCTGAATACCATTTTTCTGTTTTAAGATATATGAATACATTTTTTAACTGTTGTTCTTCTAATGTACTGTTTATTCCTTTCCTGTAGTTATCTAGAGCTATCTACTCCCAGGATGTTCATGATTATTATTGTTCTGGTAAATGAAGAAACAGCAGCAAGGTACTCTGCCCAAATACATAGGTGATCCTCCTCCTTCAACAAATGAGACAAGGTGTAAATGGTGGTGGTTCCAGTAACATACTTGTAGATTCACTGTTTTGGGACCATGCAGCTCATCATATGTTCATTAGTTAGTCCAGTGGGTTTCCAACTGGAAAAAGGGGAAGTGGGGGGGGGGGGGGGGGGCTACTATTATACTAGCATTTTTCCCTTAAATATTCCTTTGAGCCTTGTCCAACCTCAGATCCAATTCAAATTCCATTCAAAAGGTCTTTAAAAAAAAAAATTACATTGGTCGCTAATAAATTTGCACACAATTTATTTATCCACATTCAGTTTTTTTTTCCCCTCAAAATATATAAAGATATATAAAGGCAGTAATAAATACAAATGGACAAAGTCCACTCCCCCCACCTTCCCCACCCAAATGCAATATTTTAGTTATTGCAGTCATAAACATGGCCTCTTAAATGTTTTTGCAGCAGCTAAAACAGCCCAGTAGCATTAACTAAGCATTTCGTAAACAGGTCACTTTAGACAAGTTTGAAAAGTGACATTTATGGGGAACTGAGCCCAACTGGAAGTGTCGGTTCTGAGGCTTCTTGGAGGTAAAAGGGTTAATTCTTCCACACCGTTTACTTGCTTCTTAAAGAGCCTCATTTACATCTAGCTTGCCATGCATTAAATTACTATTAAGTGGTGCAGAAGCAGTTAATCTGTCTGCCTGTTCATTTCCCTACACATCTACATGCTCTGGATAACATTTAATATAGAAAGAAAACTACTAACGTCAAAAGTCCATTTCTGATCTGATGCTGTAGTGGCAGAGGTCCCCGCTCTTTCTCCCACTCTATGGTAGGTGATGGATCTCCTTGGACATTACACTGGATCTGGACAGTGCCACCAATGGACGCCTCGTTTTGTTTTGGGGTCACAGAAGCTACAGGTGGAGCTGTGAGACCAAACATAAAATACATTTAGCTTCTAGTTCCTGCAAAATCTCAGGTTGATTTTTCTGAATGTGTACAGTTAGTGCAAAATGTGTGTGATGAGAATATTTAAAATCATGTCAGAATAATAATTAACCTTAGTTAATAATTGAAGAAAAAATGAAACAGAAATTAAAAGTTCACAGTGAATCATAAATGTAACTCATTCGAAGTCGGAATGCATCTGCCTGAGAGGCAAGGAACCAGCCGTCTGCATACAAATGAGTGAGAGCTGTAAAACGGATGCACACGCAACACTCAGGTTTTGGAACAGGACTGCAGTCCAAAAGGGGATGAACAACCAGAACTTTCTTCCAGAGTTTACAGCTGGTGAACGCGAAGAAGAAGATAAATGTAAGCAGAATTGAACTGTCAGAAATGACAATATCAGAAAACAAGTTGGGGCAGAACCTGTGTTAAATTACATCAAAAAACAACAGATCAAATGGTTCAGGAATATGTCCAGACTATCACAAGACGGTACATCACAGAGAGTCCCATCCCTCAGACACAACTGAAGCAGAGCTAGAGGTTGCCCTAACAAGCAGCGGATAAAATGAATATCTGAGACTGGGACTACTAGCATCTATGTAGCACACACCAAGGCTCCCACCAGATGCCATTTCAAAACCTGACGCTCACAGATAGACATGTGAGGAAAAATAAGTTAATCTCTTTCTCTTGATTCAGTAAGGCCCTTGGACAAAAATGGACCGGGCCGATGTTCTCAATGGTCTCAAGAAGCAGGATAAGTAGATGATTCAGGAGATGGTGGTGAATCGGCAACACTAAAAAAAGACTACAAGAACTTTAGGTCACAATAAGTATTGCCAGACATGAACACTATAGAGATCCCCAAAGAAGAATAATAAACCGACACAGAATTGGTGTAATCAGAGGCCACATGCTGCAGAATAAATTGAAGATGGGATCTGAGTGCTGAATGGATGTGTCCAATGGGGATAACTGGTCGATTACCAATTAGTAATACCAATGACATATGTGGTTACAGTTAAAATAACAGCTAGACTAGTAGGCCATCAGTCAAAATTCAAACTTCATTGCATCAGGTCACCCCATAATTGCTCTCTTTCAGTGCCAGTTAAAAAAAAAAAATGCCAATCACTGTCTCATGTTAAAAAAATCAAATACAGCAGTCCTGGTAAAATCCGACAGTTAACACACAAATAATTCTGTAGCATCCAGCCCCTGACCATTTTCTGAATAAGCAGTTTAAAACACCTATCTCCAGAAACACAGATAATAAGCCTTCCCCAGGAAATAAATATCTAGAAAATGTATCTTACCTAGGACCACAATATCAGCAAATCCTTCAATGGAACCAGCAGCATTTGTAGCCACACATCTGTACCTGCCAGCATCTGCTCGGGTTACCTGTCTAATTTGCAAAACACCATTGCTCTCCCGGGCTTGGGGTGATAGTTGTCCATCTAGTTTTGACCACTCAACATTAAATGGACCCTGTCCATCTGGCTGACATTGTAGTTGAATTGGCTGGCCTGGTCTGGCAGTGATTCGGGATGGTGTGATGACCAGTTTAGGTAGAACTGTAATAAATCAAAGAAAAATGAATTTTTTCTTTTTTTAAACCAAAACATATAAAATTTTTTGATAAAATTAATATATACTACTAAGAAAAACCATGGATCTTAAAAGGGACATAATTTTCTCATAATTCTTTGACTTCAAGATCTTTGTAATTTAATAAGTCAACTGTTTAAATTGCACTCTAGAATACTTTAGGGTTGAACCAATCAACTGAAAGTTATTTGTATCTGGATTAATGATGGGTTTTAGATGTACAGACTTTCCCATCATCTAATAGAAATGTTTTTTTTTTGATGTTCGTGATAATTTATCTTTTGCTATTTAAGTGTACCAGAGGTCAGAGGCTCGATTTCCAATACCAGTCATGAAGGCACTAAATCATTAGGATGACATAGACAAGTGCAAAAGGTCCAGATTACTTGAAGTTTAAGAGACAAGTGTTTTGAGAGATTAACGTGTAACAGCGCTCCACAGGTATTGTGAGACCCAAGTGTGACTAGGCGCTGAAAGTTTACCCGTATCGAAGTCAGTGCCTCTTGGTTAGTGAGATAGAGCAGACGTGTGTGGCATCTGTTCATAATAATGTGCGTTTTACCTGGAGAGTTTGAACTGTGAGAGTGGAATTTGGTGTATAATTCAGAATGCTACAAATGAATATAGTTATTGGAAAAAAAAGACAATGAGATCCAGATACGTCATCTGACCACTGTGTTATTTGGTTGATTATATTCCATAGTGTTGGTCAGTGCCAATGGTTGTTTCTATAGCCAAATGCATTATTATAGGCTACTCGTGACCTCAGGATTGGGTCCATATGCCAGATGTGTCCTATGTTATAGACTCATGTCAAGTCAGGGCTAGGTGCCACCTTTTGAGTTGGTACTACCTTTAGTCTGCCAGTGTGTATATATGCAAGAATTTAATAGACAGATGGTGTTCAGTCATTTGCCACCAATTATTCATCCTAATGTATGTGTCCCTGAATAAACTCGACTGATGCACTAGCACAGATGACTTTTAAGTGTCTATTTAGTATTGCTGTTCACGTTTTGTTATTATGGTGTTGGTGGTACAATGTCACCTACATTGAACATGCAACGATAGCCACAAGAACACTACAGCGGGCTAAATATGCACTTAAGGCATGGGCGAATAGATGGTGTGTCAGCATCAATACAGACAAATGTAGCACCACACTCTTCACTCTCTCCCCAAAGCAAAAAGCGGGCATCATCAAAATAAACGGATTACCCCTAAGAGATGATAAAGAGCCCACGTACCTCAGAGTCACATTTGATGACAGGTTGACATGGAGAAAACATATCAACAAGGCAGCAACCAAAGCCAGGAGGAAGACAGCCATACTAAGAAAAACTAAGTGGAACCAAATGGGGAGCCAGTGGGGAAAATACTCAATAAAGTATACAAGCAGAGCATACAAAAACACTTGGAATATGGGTCTACTGCATGGTGTTCAGCATCTAGTACAACATTAAAAGAGTTGGACAAAGTGCAAAATCAAGCAGAGTCATCACAGGAGGGATGAAATCAACTTCCATATTAGAAATGGAGAAAGCTGGGAAAACACAGGCACTGAGAGAATGCAGAGAAACAAAGTTGCAAATACAAGCTGAAAAGTTCCTCAGTATGCCAGATCACCCCATGAAAAATAGATTTCAGAACCGAGCCTTGGGACCGTTAAAAAAGAAGCAGCTTTATACATCAACCAAAAAGAATATGTTGACAAACTGCTGACCTTCCAGAAATTGGTTATTCACTTAACAGTATTCCATAACAAACCCCATGGAGAGAGAAATGCAAACTAACGGTACAAATTCAGACAAATGTGAAAGGAATATTTGACAAGAAAGAACAAGATAGTGTACAAAGCAGAATGGCCACTCAGTTATATTGATGAAGAATACCCACAAGAACAATAGGTCAGAGTCTATACAGATGGGTCCGCAGAAAGTGCAGTTAGAAATGGTGGTGCTGGAGTGTACATAGAATTCCCAGATGGTACTAGGGATAAGTCCAGTGTACCAACCAGAAAGTACTGCCATAACTATGATGCAGAAACTCAGGCTATCAAGATAGCAACAGAGAATCTGTTAAATACCAATCTTGGCTCACAGTTTGTGGTAATGCTGACAGATGCAAAATCAGTACTTGAAGCACTCCAGTCTAGGAAACTACAGAATTGCAAACACTGCTGACATAACTCAGCCTTCAGCGAAGAGTTGTAATGCAGTGGATACCATCACATTGTGGAGTGACTGGAAATGAGAAAGCTGATCAACTGGCAGGAGAAGGTGTGACAAAAGTGCAGCCGAATGTACCAGTCACATACCACCAAAAGAAAAGAATCATTAAATCAATCAGGAAACAACCAGCCCCAGCACAAGACGACTTTTTTTTTATGGACAGATCAGAACAAGTCATTATTTTCTGCCTCAGAACAGGGCACAACCGATTACGTAACCACATGTACACAAAATTCAAGATAGGTGTATCAGCCATGTGCACATGTGGAAAGGTGCCCCAGACAGAAGAGCATATACTCCAGGACTGCACTGAATTTGACACATTATGGCAAACCTTTTGGCCAGAAAGAACAACAGTGGAACGTAAACACTATGGACCACTGAATGAACTAACAACAACAGTGAAATTTATACAAGAGACAAAATTGCTGATATAGACAACTTATTTCAGGAGAACGAAAGAAGAAATCACCTCAGTATTCTCCTTAGGGAACCCAGTTGTCGTCGTAATCACTGACTAGGGAATCTTTACATGTGTGATTGAAGCATAATCATCACTCTAGATACTCTTGCCAGGTATGCGGTATCTTCCCTCTGTCACATATTACAATGGGAGACAAGCCAAATTTAGCATACTACACTGACAAGAGAATGTGAGCACTTATAGAATAAATGGTTCAATTAATGAAGATAAACTATTAACTAACCAACTAACTAACTTACCATTAACAACAATATACACAGAAGCTGTGAAATCTGCTCCTGTGGTTTGACTGATCACTGAACAGACGTACTCCCCGGCATACTCTGGCTCCACCAACTGGAAACGCAACACTCCATTCCTAACACTGTGACCAGGAGGTAACGGCTGGTTTCCTGGCCGTCTCCAGCGGTAGAGGGGGTTTGGTAGCCCTTGGGCTGAGCAGGTTAGCTCTACAGCCTGACCAATCACTAGGCTAAGACGCTCAGGTCCACCGATGGATACTCCTTCTGGTCCACTAGTTTCTCGCTCAATGACTGAAAAAAAAAGAAGAAAAAAAGAAATAATAAAATTAAATCTTACTGTCTCAAGAATGCACTACATGAGAATAGCTATTGTACAGTTTGTGTTTTATGATGATAGCCAAGGTCATTGTATGTTGGACATTTTAATGCATGCTCAATCCTCCTATACAGTAACCACCCCACGGTACCTCAATATCCTTTTACAAGTGCATCAAGCAATGCATGCTGTGGTACAGTATCTTTTAACTTTGGCCTGAGTGCGTGAAAAACAAAGCAGTTATAAGAATTGGTAAGTAGATGATCAACCAAAAGGACTTTACTGAGAACAGTATTGTTTAATGTACAATGATTCAATGTAGGTTGAGGTAGTAGAGTTTGTTCTTTATGCAACACTCCTGACAGGTGGCTAGCCATCCTGTAGAGAGACAACCACACAGGACAAAACCTGGTGTAATGATGTCCATTCTCTTATCTCTAAACCTTTTGACTGACTGACTGATCAATGTCTGACTGAATGACTGACCAATGAATGACTGACTGATGAATGAATGACTGATGAATGACTGACTGACTAACAAAATGATGCATAATTTATTGACTAATTACCTAATGAATGACTGACTGACTGACCGATCAACTGATCAAATGAATGACTAAATGACTAATTAACTAATAAATGCATGACTAAAAGACAAATTAACTAATGATGACTAACTGAAAAGTTATTGTATATATGCCTGTTTGAATGACTAATTAACCAATGAATGACTGACTAATTGCTAATTAACTAATGAATGACTGACTGCTAATTAACTAACGAATGACTGAGTAATGAACTAAGACTGACTCACTGACTAATTTCATAAATGACTAATTTAATAATTACCTGATTGATAATGACTGATTCATTATTCAAATGATGAATGCCTGCCAAATTAACTAATGAATGTCTTATTTACTGAGTAATTAACTGATGAATTACAGACTAACTGATGAATAACAGATTGACTGAATAGCAAGAAATCTTAGGGAAAAGCAATAAAGGAAGGATTTATAATAATCTGTGCTGAAATTAAGCCTGCTAAAGACTGCAAACTTTACAGCAATTCAAAAGTAACAGCAATTCCTTTATTGTAATTAATGACATTCGCAACACATATCTGACACACATGCCATACGGAAAGCTCCAGTGTATTCTTGAAATGCTGCTTAAAGGCAGAACACAATTATCATTAGTCCCTAGCTGAGCTCGGTCTAGATCCAGATGTGTTACCTGGACTACCTCAAGTTTGTATTTGTACTCTACCCACAACAGAAAATATACATCTATTTTAGAATCTATTAATCAGTCTATTTTAGAATCCATTGTCAATTTCATAGTAGATCAATCAATCAATGTCCAAATCTGTCAGTATATTTCACAACCTAAATAAATTTATAAGTCCTTTTCAGATTATGTAAATTTACATCAGAATCTATCGATCTTTACCAAGCTCTGGAAACTGTAAACAAATCTTGAGGTTTGCATGCACACTTGTTTAACACATCTAGCTTATTTATATGCAGGCTGTTGGTTCCTTGCTTCTCAGGCAGATGCACTCCGACTTCAGAGGATTCAGAAGATCATGTATAATACTAAAGATTGATGTCTGTGGAAAGCTCGTGAAGATGTATGTCATTTAGCCGGTCACAATGATATACTTTAATGGCAAAATTATCATTACTTTTTTAAATTAAACCAGTGTAACGAAGATGTCCTGCAAGAAATGAATTCATAAACGGAACTGGTTATTCCGATAAGAAAAAGATAGCTCACATTTACTGGTAATGTTATGCAAGGGAAAAAAACTGGAGAACATCATGACAACAAGAAAGCTGGAGGAGAAAAGAGACAAATCGAGACCAAGAAAAAATATATTGGATATTTTTGACATCATGATATGGAAAAACATAGGTATTAGATATAATTAGAAATATACAGAGCAGAAGTGTGCAATTTAAGTCGCCAGAAGTCCACAATTGACATGTGACTGAGGCCCTGTTGGTATATTTTCGGCATCGATAATTTTGGACCGTTATTCGGAGAATAGCCTGGAATTCTAATGGACCCGTGACCTATTTTTCAAAAGTGTTACCGATATGAAAGGGTTAAATGACTTCAATGGCTCCCCAGGGATTGACACAGGACAGAAGGCTGTGGACAGACATAATAATTATTGTTTCATGGCATGGACTATAACAAGAAAAAAATAAATCAAATCTGCAAACTGAACAACAAGTAGAAGAATACAGACCAGTAATATCCACAGACTCTTCTGTCCTGCCTCTGTCATTAGTGGCCACACAAATGTATTGACCTTCATCTCCCTTCTGAATGGACTCGAACAGAAGTCTTGCAGTGCCAGGACCCTGTGACAAAAATATATCCCACACATGATATTAACTAACTTCAATGGCAAATGACTTTCTTCTTTAACCTTCAGACTGAAAAATGAATGTGCATGCAAAACTCAAGTTCTGGAGCCAGACTTAAAAGTCCAGAAGTGATTGAACAACAAGAAATTTCCACTGGAGTTTAAACAGGTAAATGCAAAGAAGTGTTTTGACACAAGCCACACATGTTCTCTTATTAAAAAATAAATATGGACAAAATGTTGATCAATTTAAATTTGGTGTTTGTTAATCAAATACTTGGTGAATTCAAATTAAACAAACAACATATGCAGAGTTTAAAATGATCATATGCAACTAAATGGAAGCAAAGAACAATAACATTTAACTTAGTATGCATGTCATAAAAGTCAACTAAGTAGGATTTATTGAAGCCTATCTACCTCATAGGAAAAAATTCAGCCAGCCATCAACAAATCTTCAAACAGCTTCCTTTAAGTTGGTTTAGAGAGTATGTTCTGCTGGGTGATTGAAGGCAGAAGAAGAAAACAACTGGAAACAATACTTTTACCCAGGGCTTCCCACCACCCCCACCCCCCCCCCCCCCCCCCCCCCCCCACCCCCAGGAAATAAAGGTGCTAGTTATCACAAAAGAGTGTCTAAAATTGTGCTGGTACTCATCACAAAGTGTCTATTACAGTAATGGCTGGAAACAAAATGAGACTTAAAGTGCAGGTGTTGTATACTGGCCAAAAAAGTGCTGCTTTTCCCAAGACTTCTGGGTAAATAGGGATCAAGAAAGAAAGACTTCTGGGTAAATAAGGATCAAGAAAGAAAGAGTACAAAGAATCAAACTTACAGCATCATATGCTTCTGGCAGGACATCTGATCGTCTTCTCTGTTCAGACCTCCAAATGACAGAGGGGGTGGGATCACCAATGCCGACACACTCAATATTGACTCTTTCTCCAGCAATGGATGTTATGTATTTACCTGGAGTGATTTCAATAGTTGGTGGACCTGCAAGGGGAAAAAAAGCATAGAAATAATGTATGCATTTTCTGTAAAGGTACAACCTGACCCACAACTAACTCCTTCAACAGCATATGTTAATGAGTGAGTGTCTATGAGACAACATTCTTTAAAACTTTCCATATAAAGGGGTATAGAATAGAATGAATCAAGGAAACTACCTGGATGTAGATACTGTTGAATATTTATAGTGCTGCAGATTCAATAAAACTATACTGATGTAGAAAACTAAAATAGACATTGTTCCAAATTGTAAGATGTTTATACAATATGTATGGAGATAAAACTTAGCCAAGAAAAAAGTGTCTGGACGCAATAATTGTTCTACGCATAAGAAGTAGTCAGCTAAAGAAAACACACACACACTTGCATGCAGACACTATTCTTTTTCTTCTTCTTCCTGTTCACTGGCTGTAAACTCCAGCAGAAAGTTCTAATTGTTCGTCCAACTCTGGACTTTAGTTTTGTTCCAGAACTTGAGTGTTGCATGCACATCCCTTTTACAGATCTAGCTTATCTGCATGCAGACTCTTGGTCCTTGCTTCTCAGGCAGATGCACTCCGACTTCAAAAGAAGCTCCCAATTTACTTACTCTTATGACACGCGTGTTGTGAAGGCATTGGGTCTATTCCCCTCTCCCCCTTTCCATGAGGCTCTAGAACTCAAACAGGCAAGACATTATTCAACACTTGAAATGTTTAACTCTTTCAGTCCCAAGGAACACATCATACATTCATAGGTTCCAACCAAGAAGCCCAATGAACGCAAGATGTGCCAATTTTATGTTTCTCAGTACTACCCCTTGGGCCTCTGATGCTAAATCTCTCTAGGACTGAAAGGGTTAATAAAGAACGATTCAATAACAACCATTTTGATGTAGTTCCTAGTAGGTCACAGATTTTATTAAGAACTACTAGTAGGATACAAAAGAGAAGATTACATCATAGAAGTAATGTTTCACAATGTAAGGCTCTTTGAATCTAATCAGTCAACTAACCAATAAAGTCAAAAAACAGAGTCAAACAATGCTAACCTTCCACCCTAAGACTGGCTGTGGCTGTGACAGTTCCAACTTCATTCGTTGCTGAACACAGGTACTCTCCTTGCTCAGCGGCTGTGAGAGAGGTAAACATGATGACACCCATGTCTGGCTTGATCTCTGTCCTGCTAGTAAATTCTCTACCAGAAGCTCTGTATCAAAATGAGAAAAAAGAACTGTAATTGGATGTTAAAAGTTAGTTGTGTATCCTTTATATTACATTGCAGAACCAACCCCAGCACTTTTGATCTGTTGCAGTTTTTCTAGGTAAATTTTATTTTCAGTAGTTTGCCCCTGCTTTCTGAATGCTCAGCTCTCAGTTAGTTGTGTATCCTTTAAAGGATGTTGCAGAACTAACCACAGCATTGATTCACTGTTATGGTTTTTCTCTCGGTACCACTGTTGAAACCAATGCATGACAAGCCATCCACAGCTGGGATCGAACCTGACTCCCAGGCATTATGAAGCTCAATGGCAATGCCTAAGCCATAGACCCAGCGAATGTGGTGTACAGAGATTAAATATTATAAAGAGCCTATGGTTCAACATTAGCAAACTCAATTCACAGCATAGGCTACTTAGTTAAGTGCTTGGTGCAGCACTGTAAGCTGTATATTTCACATGGAATGACTTTCGTTAGTGCCTGCAGAGGTTGTGTCATGATATTATGCATTTACTGTATGTGCATATTTTAATATTTCTGGATTTTGCCAGGACTAATTGTTTGTCTAGTAGTTTTCAGATTGGACAATGAAGGCCATTTCATGTGACTTTTACTAGCATGTCCAAAAGTTTTCAAATTAGACAATGAAAGGCATTTCATGTGACTTTCACTAGCATAGGAACAGAGCAATTATGGGGTAACCCATATGCAATGAAGTTGAAACCTGAACTACAACTATTTCAGCAAACTTGAAGTTAAAATCCAGAGTTCATGCATCTTGTTTGTGGCAATACACTAATGTGAGTCATTGACTATTTTGCAATCATTGAAAATTTAAAAAAATATTTTAAAGAGTTACTCAGTCCTGAAAACAAGGTAGTTAACACAAGTTCTGTGCCCAAAAGCTGTAACATGCATGAACCAAACTTTTTAACATCAGAAGTAAAAGGTGTTATACAGAAGAGCCCTAAAAACAAAGCACCTGGTTTAGATGGAATAACTACAGAAGCTATTCAAGAATGTGGGCAAACTGGGATCAAATGGCTAACAAGAATTTTCAATATAGCATGGGAAAGAAAGTAAAGTTCCACTTGATTGGCAGCAGACATTAACAATACCTACTGGGAAATAAAGAAAGGTAACACAAGAGACTGTGCATCGTACAGAGGTATATTACTCTTGAGCCACATAATAAAAATGAATGTGAAATTATTAGAACAGAGAGTCAGACCTATAGCAGAACAGTACTGAAAAACATCTCAATTTGGTTTCAGGAAAGGAAAAGGTTGCACAGATTCATTATTTACAATAAGACAAATTTGCGAGAAAACCATTAAATATGAGATGAAATTAATATTGTGTTTGTAGATCAAGAAAAACCTGTTGATAGAGTAGACAGAAACAAACTATTGGCTATTCTTGAAGGCTTATCTGATATATTTGCAATCAATATGGAGGTGAGGCAGGGATGTGTGCTCTCTCCTCTCTTATTTAAAATATGCAGACAGAATATCCAAGCCAGCTTTAACTCTTTGAGTCCCAAGGAACGCATCATACATTCATAGGTTCCTACCTAGAAGCCCAATGAACGCATGATGCGCCGATTTTATCACTTTCTTTACTACCCCCTGGGCCTGTGATGCTAAACCCCCTGGGACTCAAAGAGTTAAAGCAGTCAGCCCATAAAATGACGAATTTACTTTCCAGAAGAAGAATTAGATCCATATACAATAAACAAACTACTATTTCCAGATGATCAGTGCCTGTTCTACAATGAGTGGAGTAGACTACAAGAACATTTGAACAGGCTGAGTTTAACATGCAGAAGATTTTACAAGAAAATAAATACAACCAAAACTGAAGTAATGCAGGTCGGTAGAATTCCTAGTCTGCTACATATCAAGTTGAATGGTACTTGTCTGAAGCAAGTTAGAGAAGTTATCTCAGAAGTATATTCTCGGAGGTTGGGAGAATAGATCAGGAAATAGAAACAAGATGCCAACGAGCCAGTGCATTTACGTACCAACTGACACCGTTATTAGACATCCAAACATAAGCATGAGAACCATGAAACAGACTATAAACAGCATATTCATACCAACAATGTGCTACCAGTGCTAGACATGGACTTTATCAAAGGCTAACCTACATAAAATTAACGCCTGTGAAATAAGATGCCTGAGAAAAAGCTGCCGGCTTAACCATTTGGGAATAAGTTAGAAATGTCATTATCAAGCAAACTGTACAAACAACAGCATGCAGCAAATTTACTGAGAAATAGAAGATCAAATGATCTGGTAATCTGGTGAGAATGCAGCTAGAACAACTGCCAACACAAGCGCTATACATGGAAAGATCTGAAGTGAAAGTAAGAGGCTCCCAGAAGAACATGGATTGATGACATTAAAGAGCTTCTACATCAACATGGAATGACATAGCCATTACTGCCCATCAAGCAATGGATGACAAACTGTTCCTCCCAACAATGCTTAATTGCAGTTCTAAAAACTGATGATTGTAATAAAAGAGCTGGAGCTTTTTAACTTAAATGTTACAGTCCCATGTGGGCTTCATTTTGAGGAGACCCCAAAAAAAAAAAATGCACTGCCTCACTAACAGGCATTTTATACAAGTTGACTAATTAAGAACATTTCCCTCGAAGTGCATGTGCCTGAGAAGTGAGGAACTTTTAATCTCCATATTGACAAGCCGGATCTGTAAAAAAGAATGTGCACACAAAACTGAAGTCCTTGAGCAAGACTAAAGTCCAGAAGTGGATGAATGACCAAAACTTACTGCCAGAGTTTTCAGCCAGAGAACATAAAGAAAAAAGAATAGGAAGAAGAAACAAAAAAAGATAAAAGAAGAAGAAGAAGAAGAAGAAGACAATTCTAAGAGTATCAAAGATGAAGAAGATGAAAACTTCTGGCATTCTTCAGACTGCAATCTCAAAAGGCAATTGAAAGGTTCATGAACAGTATCATTTCTTGAAAACTGAAACACTTGTGCTACATTAAATACCATAATGGTTTGAAGAGAACAGTAATGGAGGGTATAGTTCCTGGCAAAAGTGGCAGAATTTGACCAGCATAGCAGTGGACACAAGATATCAAGGAACCTCTACATAGGATCTCCATGACTTACAACTGAGTTCAACTGAGTTCTGCCTTAACTAACAGGTCCTAACCTGAACTGGTCATAAGTGACATTTACATTTTTCATAATTATTATAATTCAAATGGGTTATGAAAACTGTACAACAATTAAATATATGCATACATAATTATTGTACATTATGTGAACTCTATTGGACATAATGTAAAGGCTGGTTTCACCCCTTCATTGATTTAAAAGCAACAGATAGCAGAACACTGCTCCTCTTTGATGCATGTCAAAAGCAGACAGATATTAGTTACTGTAGTAAATTGACGGGATCCAAGCCTGCGAAGAAGTGGGTGTTAAATGGCTTACTAGAATGTTTAATAAAGCTTGTGAAGAAAGAAAGTCCCAGCTGAGTGGCAACAGGCATTAATAGTACCGATATGGAAAAAGAAAGATAATAGGAGAGAATGTGAAGCATACAGAGGTATATCACTACTGAGTCACGTAGGAAAAATTACTAGAACAGAGAGACACATTGCAGAACAACAGCTGAGTGCATCACCATTCGGTTTCTGAAAAGGCAGAGGATGCACAGATGCATTATTCACTCTGAGGCAAGTGTGTGAGAAAGCCATTGAGTATAATACCAAACAGAATGTTGTGTTTGTAGATCAGGAAAAAGCTTTTGATAGAGTGGAAAGAAACAAACTGTGGTCTGTTCTTGAGAACTACAGGGTACAAGGACAGTTACTAGAGAACATCATAGCCATGTACCACACAAGCCAAAGTGCAGTAAAAACACAAGAAGGCATATCAGATATGTTCACAGTCAACACAGGTGTGAGACAGGGATGTGTGGTCTCCCCACTTTTATTTAACATCTATATAGACAGAATATCTAAAGAAGCAAGTTATGATACAGACAACATAGACCTTTATAATCACGAGGAAGTACATACATGAGGAGAAGTAATCGATTCACCCACATTAAACAAACTACTGTTTGCTGACGACCAGTGCTTGTTCTACCCTGAAGAACATAGACTGCAAGACCACATTAACAGTTTAAACTCAGCATGTAGTAAATACAACATGAAGATCAATGTAAACAAAACCGAAACAATGCAAGTTAGTAGACATTCTGCCCCACTACACATACAGCTGAATGGTTCTGCCCTGAATCAAGTTAGGGAGTTTAAATATCTAGGAAGTATGATCACAGAAGATGGTAGAATTGACAGAGAAATAGAAACCAGATGTCAGAAAGCAAGTGCACTTATATACCAATTGTCACCATTATTAAGACATCCAAGCATAACTATGAGTGCAAAGAGACAGATTATTAATAGCATATTTATTCCAACATTAAGCTACCAGTGCCAAACATGGACAATATCTAAAGCCCATTTACGCAAAATTACCACCTGCGAGATGAGGTGCCTGAGAAAAGCAGCCAACCTAACCATACGAGATCGAGTGAATAATGAAACTATCAGGCAAATTGTGGGGACGACACCTTGTAGTAGATTCATCGAGAAACAGCAGATCAAGTGGTTTGGCCATCTTGTTAGAATGCAACAAGATCAAATACCATCACAAGCACTACATCTCAGAAGATCAACTACAAGAGCAAGAGGACGGCCGCGGAAAACATGGATCGACAACATTAAAGACACTCTACGCCTTCACGGCATGACAATAGCCAGTGGCAGCCAACGTGCACTGGATTGCAAATTATTCCTCCCCACGACGCTTAACGGCAGAAGTGGTTTATGATGATGATGATGAGTAAATTGATATTTACCTGGTCCAGGTAACAACAGGAGCAGGAATACCTCCGACAACTCTGCACTGAAAGAGAGCACTGGAACCAGTAGGTCGCACCTGCTGACTGTCTGGGTATAGTTCTATTACTGGAGGGTCACGAGCTAGACAAGCAAAAGATAACAAACTTTAACCATTTCATTCCATACAAATCTTTAAAAAATAACCTTTTTACAAATGATATCAAAATTAAATACATCATTATAATTATCTGAAACTCTATCATAAGAAACAACAGAAGTGAAGAAGCCAAGGCAATTTGGGGTCTTTGTCAGCGTTTTTTTTTAATAAATAAAAAATGCAAGGCATTGAAGCATATGATCATCAAGCAGACAGGCAAGTCTACTAGCTACTGCATCATCGTGGCCTCCAAGTCACTAAAATATGGATTTTTAAAAAATACTGAGTCATTAGTTGCGCAAAGGGGATTTTTTAATAATAAGGGAAGTAATCATTAAATACAAACAGAGCAAAGAAGTAACTGCTTTCCTTCTGTTAGACCAAGAAAACAGGGCTTCAGTTAACACAGCCACAGAGTGCTAAGTAAAGTCATCATAAGTTTATCATGATGTGACAATGACAACAAAATATCATTTTTTTAAAAATATATATATATAATCATAGCCACTACCTCTATACATTATGTAGTTGCGACCAGTACCAAAGCTGTTATATAGGTGTAGGGTCACTACCCATAAACATCATGTTATCAGAAATTAGCAAAAGTCCGAAACCCAGCTTTTTTGGGGTGAAGGGTTAAGACATTGCCTAATTGTTGGATATGCAATGAATATCACATAATTTAGGGTTAACCTGTAGATGCCTCAGAAGTTTCACAGTATGCAGAAGATGGTTCCAGTTACACACTGATTGTAAATCCTTTGGATCTTGCTACCCAACGTGGTCTTCATGCCTCTGTTGCTTTAATGATGCTACTCAATCCTTGGCAGGACCTTCCCTTTGCTCTGTCTTGCTCTTGTATTGGTTATTGTAGCTCCCTGTGGTAGTTCTGGGGTATTCTTGTCTGCTTTTAAAAGAATTGGTGCAAGGTGTTGTTCCACAGTCTGATAGTATCATGTCTCACTCAGTCTTGAATGGTTAGGTCAGTGGCTTTCCCAAGCATCTCATCTCGCTGCTGCTAATTTTACACTAGTGAGTCTTTGATGATATCCAAGTTTGCCACTGGTAGCACAATATTAGTATGAATATGTTGTTATAATCTGTTTATAGTTCGTAAACACTGACAATGTGGATTAAACTGATGTATGCAAAGCAACGTACGTCTTCTTCTTATATACCATGCTGCGTTAGTCGTCATGTCTGCCCACGGTATTTTTTCTAATTTACTGTCAATCACTTCTGATCCCGATGTTCTTTGAACATATTTTCTTTCATGTCATGCTGCCAAACTGTTCAGCATCTTTTCCTTTGCTCAGCATCTGCCTCATTCTCTTCAAAATTTCCCTTCTTGAGGCATGACCAAAGAAGAATATTATCTTCTGATGTAAGTTATTGGTTCTTTTTTATGAATTAATTTCTTTTAAGGCATCTTTTATTTGTTTGTTCATGGTATTTTTCTTATTTTTTCTTTAAACTCTCCTCTCTGCCGATACCATATAATTTTCACTAACTGGTTTACTGTCCTTGATTCAGTGTTATTTATAAGGATCGCTCTCAAGAACACTCTTGCTCACTTTAGTTGATAAAGGACTTCCTAAAATGGAGGAAGACTGCCAGAATGCTTTGCTTCAGGGCTGTTTTTGCCTCTGACAGCGCTTTGCTTGTACAATTTTCACATGTGAACGGTAGTCTTTAGTTTCGCTGCCTCAGCTACTCAGTTTAGTGCTTGGCAGAGCCCTGTGAGCTGTTGTTTTTCATGTGGAAAGCCTTTCATTTGTGCAGCATTTGTGTCTGGTGTTAAAAATGGCTTAAAAATGACATGTGAGCTAGTGGAATACCTTATGTAGTAATTCTACATGTGTATTTGTAGTAATTCTACATGTGTATTGCCAACTTGCCCTCCAGAAAGTACCTAGAGAATTTGAGAAATTCAATCCTGGTCTTAAATTTGATGAAAGGGAAAATCCCAAAGTGCACCTCCAAGTGGTGGAGGGTGGGAAATACACCATGGTTAAGTTAAGCACCAACATCAAAGCACTCTGGATAATCTCATAAGTGCTCTGTCTCCATTTTCTAGAGTTTCATTTATGATGGTGCCATTAGCAGTTTGATTTTTAAAAAATGGAATGAGAAGAAAAGTAGAAAGAGGGGAGGAACAGGCAGATGAGGTAGAAGATAAGTAACTCACGCTCAATATCCACAACAGCTGAGGCCTGTGTAGTTCCTGCCACATTAGAAGCTGTACATATATAAACACCTCGGTCATCCATTGTTGCTTGGAGGATTCTCAAAAATTCCCCACTTACCTGTGGAACATGACAAAATAGTGAACATACACACATCCTTCAGTTCTTTGCATTATTTTTTTTTTTTAAATATTGACATTGAACAGCATCAGACCTGTCATCCTGTTTAATAGCATCGATGGCTTTGAATTGCCCTTTAGGAAGCTTGTATTTGAGGTTAGTATTTTCAGACATGCCGCATCTGCACTAATTTTACACAATTCTGAAGGGAAAAAAAAGACTTAACTGTCTGGTATCCATTTTTATTGGACAGTGTTAAATCCTGAAACCATACTGACCAGAGAAGAAAATAATTTTGCCTTTTCTTCTTCTTCTGCCTTTTTAACCCCAGTGGAGCACAGGCCCAACCCTACCCTTAGGCACCTCTTACAACATGCCTAGTAGGGTGCAGTGTTACTATTCTTTGCTTCCCGTGTGGGCCCCTGTGACACACGGGTGAATTTAGCCTCTACTGGGATTTAAACCCAGACCACTCTTAGAAGACAAATATACTTACAACTATGCCACAACAGCTCCTTTACAAAGTATCTGGAAAATAATCATCATGTTGCACGTCCTTTGCAGAATATCACTCTCATTATGGTCTATCTACAAAAAAATGGTTTTTCGCCAGCTCTTCTACCTTGTCAAGATGTCACTTGTATCCTGTTCCCATCTTCATGCTGGTCAGCCCCTGTCCCATGTTCCTGTCACCATGCCTTGTGCTATTATTCTGTCCAATCCACCGACATGCTTTAAATGTTCAAAATAATTATGTTTCTGTTTTTTAAACAAAAGATGCTGTTTGCTAGCCAACTTTCTTTTATGTTTTGATCTTTAAATAACAGTTTTAATGGACTCACTATCAAATCTTTTAGGCTAAAAACAAATTCACAAACATGTAGCAGACCAGGTTTAATAGAAGATATCTCACTGGCTATTTCATATCTAAACACAAGAGTATGGTAATATTGGTTGTATAGATACCCACCCATGTGGGAATACAGGGTAATGAAATTGCAGACAGAGAAGAAAACAAAGGTAGATCCAATAAAACACTGTTAATTAAAGAATGAGCACAGGGACCTCAAATATCTGATTAAATGTATATCAGAGGAATGGTCCTTAAATTAAGACCAAAGTTTGAAAGGTAAACATTCAAATAAGTTGTTAAATTCCCCTGAAAGACAAAATCAGATAACAGTTAGTTAGCTAGTCGACAGATTATCTTCACTGCACATCAAGCCATTCAATCCATAAGTGCTCAGATTGCCTCCTTAGTGAATCTCCCAGCGTGTAGCGGCTGAAAACACTGCTCCTATGTTGGTTTCTTATTCTTCTTTGGCTTCCGGCATGGTGCTCTTCTCTGGTCACACTCCTTTCAACATGATGTTCTTGCATTCTGGTCATGGTTACACATTAACAGTTATCACTTGGTTCTCACTTCTCATAGAGATTTCAGTATATCAGTATGGTCCAAGCCAAGCCTATCCGCTTGCTTATTTCCTTGGATGACTGTGTGCCCTGGAATGAATATTAAACATATGTATCAGCCCCAACCACATAAGAGATTTCAACCACTGTTGTCGGACCGAGCCCATCATTTTCCTGAGTCAGATAACTGATGAACTTAAAATACCATGCAATCATAAATTGCTCAGACTATAACTTGGATGGGCTTTCTTCACTATACAGGAAGAGATCTGTAATCTATGCCAGAAATACAATACTATTGAGCAATATTTGCTGAAGTTTAATAAATACAAAAACCAAAGAAAACCAGTAACTGACCATATGAATCTCTGTAAATTACCTATGACGATGGAAAATTTGTTGCACATATACAACCCCAGAGACCTGTGTGACAAGGTCAAGCAATTTATTTATAGAACTAAGATCCATACATACAAGGGAAATGGATGCCTATACTATCTTTCAAAAAGTTTGCCCTAAAGATAAAAATAAGGAGAATAATAAATCTACCATGACACATTGTTAGTAAACTTGTTTAATTATTCCTAGTACAGTTTGTATCATAATCACAATCCAAATCAAAGCAATATGTGAAGCAATATAAATAACATATCTGTCATATAAATAATTACACAATATATAAACATAAAATAACATTATAAACTCTGAGAATTTGATGAACACTATATATATATAAATTATAACCCTGAAGGTTAAACTAGATATTTTTGAAAAAATTACTACTCTTTTAAGATGTCAGGATTTCTATTCTTCCTGGTCTATGGTATTCTTATAATCATTCTAAAGCATTTCAGCTCAAAGCCCATATTTTATTCCTAAATGACTGTGAGATAGTCCACAACTCACATCCTATGTTGCTACAGGGAAGATTTTGATTTTGATTTTTCTGGTGGTACTTAACTACATACTAATAATCCTACCCAATGGAACATAGCACACTTTATAAAACTGCCACGTTTCACAACCCAAAGACATACTTGGTGGTTGGAAGAGAGCGGCCCGCTTGCTCTGGACCAGGTGATGCTTGGCTGGGGGTCTCCAGTAGCCAAACAGCGTAAACTTCCAGTCGTGCCTGAACCAACAGTTTGTACAGCTGGCTCAATTCTAACTGTCGGTGGTGTGTCTGCAAATTTTCAAACAAATGTGATGGAAGAATGACCTAAGCGACACAAAAATAATAAACATGTCTGGCAGAGATGATTCTGAGACATGGACAGAAAAAACCCTAGCAAAAAAAAAAATTAAATGTTGAAAAAACTTTTCTTTACACACACGCACACATGTGTGCATGCATACACATGAGTTCACACACACACACACAAAATGTATTGATTAATAATTATTTTGTTTACTCTGAAATAAGACTGGGTCTTATATTAATTTTTGTTCTGAAAAACCTCTTATGTTTTATTTTTAGAGCATGTGTCCTGCCAATAAGCACATGTGGTTATGGTTCACTATCTCCCACAATTCCCAGAGCAGACCAACAGGTTCGTTCCAACCAAGCCATCCATGTTTGTTTTTGCTCTTGTCCTCTGAGTGGGCCATTTACACTAAATTTAGAGTTTTTTCTTTCTGATAACATGTTTGAAGAAATGTAACTACGACTATGTATAATTTCTCTGTAGTATTTGTTTGAATTATAAAATGAAAGAAAAGTATTTTTATGTCTTCATGTATAATTTATAAATTAATAACCAAGATCATCATCGTGTAGCAGGTCCTTTGAAAAGAACATTGTTTTAATCATGATCTGCCAGAAAGAAACTCAGTCTTATGCCAGGTTCTAGCCTCACACACTTTCCTATGCAAGACATCAATTACAATCCTGTGGCAATTTTCATACTGGTCAGCCTCTGCTCCTCTTTGCTGGTACCATGCCTTCTGCTACTGTTATTTTTTATCCACCGTGATGCTTGATGTCGTTGTTGCGTATCCTTTACAGGACGTTGCAGAACCAACCCCAACAGCCCCTGGCTGTTGTGTGATTTTTCTAGGCAAATTTACGTCCAGTAGTTTGCCACTGCTTTCTGGATGTTCGGTTTTCTTGATACCACTGTTGAAACCAACGCAAGGCACATGGTCTGCAGCTGGCATCCCAGCATTATGAAGCGTTCACATCGACTTAGCCACAGAGCCGACGATGCTTGATGTGGCCAAAGTATTTCAGTTTCCGAGAAATGATGCTGTTTACTAGCCAATCTTCTCTGATGGTCAGATCCTTTAGGATGTCAGTATTTCTTTTCTTCCTGGTATCAGCTCAAAGGTCCTTATGTTATTCCTTAATGACTACGAGACAGCTCATGATTCACATCCGTAAGCTGCTACAGAGAAGATACTTGCTCTCAACATTGTGGCTTTGATTCCAATGCTGGTGCTTAACCATAGATCTGTAATACTGTATAGTTAAGATAATAATTTAAAAAATTAGATTTTATCATAAAATGTACCAGATGTCACTCCTACTTTTTTTAACAATTATAAACTCTTTTCCTAAAATGTCCTACACCTTATGCTAGAATAACAACTTCTACATCTGCATTTCGCTTGCTAGTTTTCTGAGCCAGGTAATTAAAACAGTAGTATGACAAAATTCGAAACTATCCTAGAAAATTATTTATATTTTGCTTCCATATTTGGTCATTTCATACATCAAACAATCAATCCGGTGCCATTTTCTACAGTGCAGACTTGCTGCATTGGATCTCCTACACACTCTGTCTTTTGTCTTAGTTGTACACTTTCTCAGACTGCTGCTCATCAATCTCTTGATGTTATCCTCCCACTTGTATCCTTCCTTACTTACTTTTTGCTTTCTGCCATCCATTTTTCCCTCCATTATTATTTTTTAAAAAAAAGTGTTATGTCTTTTCATGGGTGCTGCCCTGGTGTAGTGACTGGATTCTAGCCTGTGGTCAGGACCTGACAGAGCGGGACATTTTTTCAAAAATAACCTGACTTCCAGGTCGACCAAGCCTCAAACGGTTACTAGGTTGAGCCCCAGGAAGTATAGGTAGCTGGCATGATGCTGACCACCGAGTGCCAATTGGTCTATAAGCTTTATATACCCAATACGCCTACAGGCATGAAAAAGGTCCTTTAATATCTTTTTAAAAAATGACTTTTCATGTGGCTGAAATAATTCAATTTATTCCAGTGTAAGTTAAGTTTGTTTGCATCACATATACAATGGCAATATAACTTTTCATTTTTATACAGGTTACTTATCAGTTTCTCACATGATGTGCCAGTGACAGTGATACTTGAGCTAGCTTGTCCAATGATTCCCCCAGGAGTGCTGCCGGTGCAAGTATAGAGACCAGCAAATGATGGCTGGATATTTGTCAGAGTTAATATACCATTTTCTTGAGATGTACCTGTAAAGTTTAAAATGAAATATTTAAAAAATATATATACATTCCCTGTATGTACACTGATTATTTTATCAGTGTTCACATTAAGATGTTTTGTACACATATTTCTTAGCCTTTAGTACTCTGTGAACAGACTGTTTGTTCTTGTGTACACAATTTCAATTTTTAGTTCACAAAGATAAGCTTATTGTAGAATTAGACCAATGAAAAGAAAAAGCTAGTTTGCAATATGGCCTCCTTGCTATATTGCACACTTACCTATGAACAAGCCTTACTGCTGCTATATTATATGCCCAATGTGCAAAGACCTAAATTGAGATAACATAATATAATGTATGGTTAACAATGGGCAAGCCTTTTTGCTGTATTCACACATACCAATGCCCAAACCTTCTTGATATATTACACTCACCAATGAGAAAGCTTGCTTCTTACATTGCAAAACAGGTACCAATAAGCAACATCATGTCCTTTGCAAAACATTGCCCTCATCACAGCCTGCCTGAAATGAGATCTCCCACCTCATGCACTTTCCTACCTAAGGTGTCACTTATATTCTATGTCCATCTTTGCACTAGTTGGCTCCTGCCCCTATTTCCTGGCACCATGCCTTCTGCTACTATTCTTTCCAATCTGTTGTGGTGCTTGATATGGCCAAAATTGTTCAGTTTTTGAGACTACTAGCCAATCTTCCTGAAAGTTCAGATATTTTAGGATGGCAGTATTTGTATTCTTCTTGGTCCAGGGTATTCTGAGAATCTATCAATATATATCAGTTCAAAGACTCTTATTTTCTTCCCTAATGATCGGGGCCATGTTAGCGCAGTCGATAGGATACTGGCTTTCAAATCAGCTGCGATTCATTGCAGAACATTGCCAGTGTTCGAAACCGGCGGTTCCCGGGGTTCATCCAGCCTCTAGGAAATTTGTACCAGAGTTAACACTCTGGGGTAAATAGAGGAACGTCACTGTAGCGATGGAGTTTCGTGCAGACGGCGACACAGGCGGACCGTTTCTTATCAGCTGCCTGTACTTGTGGCAGAGCACTTATGGATTATAACCGTGTGCAGTGATGCTGGTTCACATCTCCTGACCTTACCTTACCTTTATCTCTAGTATATTCCACAAGCGAGATGTCCAATGAGCAGGTCTTATTAATATCTCCTGCATATCAATAAACTCATTTTTTTTAACACACAACAAATAAGCTTGTCTCTTTATATTACATATGTACCAATAAGCATGTCTCATCAATACTGCACCATATGGTTAGATCTCATCATATGTCACACAAATGAATTAGCAACTCTCATTATTACTTAAATATTTCACATATACCAAGGGTCAGGTCTCATCATATGTCACACAAATGAATTAGCAACTCTCATTATTACTTAAATATTTCACATATACCAAGGGTCAGGTCTCATTAATATTTCACACATATGAACGGCTCATCTCACTATATGTCATACAAACAACAGGACAAACCATTCAAATATTTGAATTAATTCCCACATACCAATGGGCAAGCCTCCATCCCTGGACCAGACAAGTGTGACACCATTTCCACCCTCCACATAACAGATAAGCTGCTCACTTTGGCCCACAACGGCAGTTATGTTGGTCCTGCGAGTAACCACTTCAACACGAGCTGAAAGACAACATTTAGACATATAGACTTCAGCAGTGGCAGTTTTCCAATAACGTAAAACTATTAGTGTCAGAGCTTCGTCGTTTTCAACTATGATGATATCTACTCTGTCCATGCCCTTTTCCACTTGAGATAGTGCATTGCTTGCCAGTTGGTCTGCTTGTTCATTACCTTTCATACCAGCATGGCCAGGTGTATAGATCCAAATTTTGGTGATTAAGGGCGATTTCCAAATTCTCTCAACTTATTCAGAGTGTATAGTACATGTTGCAATTTTCTAAAGCAGTCACACAATAACTTCATGTGTAACTGCTTTTCTACAGCCCATGTTAGTGCACTGGAAGCAGCTGTTATGGACCCTTTTCTAGTGTAGTCAGTTGTTACATTAAGTCATTCCTTCTTCATTGTTTAGTTACATTTCTTTGTGGTTTAATGTTATTATTCTAACTTCACCCCACTCATGCAATGACTACTTTAAACAAGAACATCTTGAGACAGAAGTTTTAAAAGTAATTGATTGTGGGTAATTAAAGAGTTAAAAAACTGAACATTTTGGAACCACAATTCCAAAGAAGTTATTAAAAACAATATTGGAGAAACATACAGTATGCATCAGCTTTACAAGACCACAGAAAATAGTCTGAATTTTAGAGTGGTGCAGATAAGAATCATTTATTTTTTATAATTCTGTCATTTATTATTATTCTGTTTCATTTTTTTCCACAGTATTTGAATATGTTATCTAGTCACTTCAGAATAAGTTCTTTAGTGTACGCGTATGTGTGTGTTGTGTTGTTTCTCATAATTATTCTGCTGATAAAAGCTTATCCTCATAGCGTCTTTTATTTTGCTTTTAAACTGGTTGTGTGAAATTTAAAAAAAAAGTAAAATTTTGTCAGTTAAAAAAATTTTTTAAGACTAACAGATCACTTCTTTTCGATATCTACTGCTGAATAATTTCAAAGCAGGAATGAGAAAATAATAACAAGTTGCCTTACACACTCTCTGGACATAAATAATGGTTCTGACAGATGCACTGCCCTCAGAATTTGTAGCTGTGCAATGATATTCAGACTGGTCATCTCTGCTGACCGAATCAATCCTAAAGAGGCCAGTTTCATCAGTATAAACATACTCTGGCAAGGGGCCATCTCGACCTGCAAACAAATACAATGATATTATTATCACAAAGTGGTATTTCAGGTAGTGTGTAGACAGGGCTGTATTCAGGTATGCACAACATGTGCAGCTGCAAAGAGTAGTTAAATGTTTGGAGGGGGGGGGGTGGGGGGGGGGAGAGAAGGCAACATTTTGAGGTAGCAAAATATCAACAGAATAGTCTTCTTTTTCTCCTTCTTTTTCTCCTTCTTCTTCTTCTTCTTCTTCTTCTTCTTCTTCTTCTTCTTCTTCTTCTTCTTCTTCTTCTTCTTCTTCTTCTTCTTCTTCTTCTTCTTCTTCATGTTCTCTGGCTGTAAACTGCAGCAGAAAGTTTTGGTTCTTTGTCCAATTTTGGATTTGAGTCTTGTTCCAGAACCTAAATGTTGCATGCCTATCTATTTTATAGATCTAGCTTATTTGTATGTAGACTACTGGTTCCCTGCCCCTCAGGCAGATGCAGACTCTAAAGGAAGCCCTCAGTAAGTAACTCTTGACATGCTTGTTGGGAAGGCAGTGAATAATCAAATGTTTATGTTCGGCTATGCACTGAATAACCATTCTTAATTATCGAGGATAAGAAAAAACCCTAACAAGACCTCAATCATATGTCAATTGCAAACTCCTTTCCAGCGAGTACCCAGCAGCAAAAATATGATTAATTTTCGGCAATGATTTCGCAAAAACACAAAAATTATCACGAAATTATCACCATGGCAGGCAGATCATCAGCTTCAACATTGGGTCTTACGCTTTTTTCTCCCTAGGTCGTTGGTCTAAATTCTCTCCTGGATCCTAGGTTTAACTTCTCCCCTGGGTCCTAGGTTTAAATTCTCCCCTGGGTCCTAGGTTTAACTTTTCTCCTGGGTCCTAGGTTTAACTTTTCCCCTGGCTCCTAGGTTTAGGGTTAAGGTTAGGGCAACGAGTATTACAATTACAACACTGCCACCAGAATCTGTCACATCTGTCCAACCGCAACACTAACAATTGAAGGGTTCTGCATGTAAATGAAACGGGTGCAACGTTACGAAGGTGGGACTAGTGCCACGATTTGCTGCTGCCCCCCCCCCCCCCCCCACCCTTCCCTGTGGATTCACCGAAAAGAAATCCTACTTTTTCGTTTCGACAGTGGTACCCAGTCAAGTTTTACGACAGGCTTGTTAGAAGTCACTGGGTCTATTCACCACCCCCTCCCCTAAATGGGCGGCTGTAATCCACTCAGGGAACGTATCGACTAATATTCAGCCTGTAAAAAGTATTATTTGTTTTCTGGTTCCAGCTGAATTTCCTGAAAAATAAAAATTCTGCTCAAAATCTTTGTTGCTTCTCCTCTTCTTCATTGTTCGTCTAAGTGACATAGTTATGTTGTGCCTGTTTACAGGATAGCTGCCAAATTTGCATCTGTCAGCCATCACATCCAACTTCATCAGGCATTTGTTTACTGGTTTACCCTTCCCGTTTGGTTTTATGGAACAAGAAGTGGTCTTATTTGTGTGGTGTCCTCTTTATCTCTTTATCTATAGGTGATGCCTTTGAAGAACCCATCCAGGGCAACCCTGTGTAGACTAGTCAGCCCTCAAGGGAAGGCAAGGTAGATCATTGGCTTCCATAATTGCAGAGCCAACATATAATAATCTGGTGCTGGGCTTACTAAAATGAACATCATGTCTTGCACATGACTTAGCCTCACATCCGTAAGTTGAACTTCCCACTCATCATGGGCTGGGCCCTATGGAGATCAAAAGGGAACAGTCCACAGGTCTAAGACTTTGATGACCACACAAATGGACACAATCTCCTTCAGCATGTTAAACACCTTTAATGTTGTTGCATTAGGACACTTAACACAGTTTTGGAAAAGCAGGCATCAGGCATGGCTTTCCTGTTTGCTCCCGACACTGCAACAAGTTGGGCCAATGGTAGTGGATATTTGAGCCATCTGTCACATAGAGAGACATTTGATGGTTGGGTTCCTGAACCTTGCCTGTCACATTGTAAGACATTCGATGGTCAGACATCTAAAACTTTGCTGTTATGTCGTAGGACTCGTCCAAACTGTGAAGAAATCTCACAGTCCAGGGCTGAGTCTCAGCAATTCAGAGCAGTTAGTACAACTTTTGGTCAACAGACGTTTGAACTACAGTATGTCATAAAGCAGGATATTCTACCAGCGAGCTTTACTCATGTTCCAAATGGGTTCTGATAGACCTTACAACTCATGCATTCAGGGTGGGCTGATGAGAGCCAGAGGAATTCTGGATACTGTATTTTGGGGGAGGGGGCCACCAACCCCAAGATTCTCTGCTAGCTTGCTTTAGGCCAATATGACCCATTATCCATAGTGCAAGACAATGAAAAGTGGCATGAGTCTTGCATGGCATAAGACGTGCACAGAGCCGGCTAGCTCCAAAAGTGAGATATGGAGTATTTCCTTATACACACCGCAATGGCCTTAAGTTTCTCTTAAATTCACTGTGCTATGAAATCTTTATTTAATCTGTTGTCATGTCTGCGGAACTGTGAACCTTAGAAACACAGCTTCTTTTAACAGACAATTTATTTCAAAACTGATCATACTGTACATTACCAGGCAAGACAATTTGTGTATTGAAGAAATACTAACCTTTGGTCCAGGTAACAGTTGGCCTTGGGCTACCTTGTGCAATACACTGGAACTCTACTCTTTCCCCTTCAGACACTTGAAGATACCTTGGTTCTATACGAACTGTTGGTGGCTCTTCAACTTCTGAAATGTACAAATGACAGAGCAATGTTACTACAGTGGAGCTCCAATACTCATTAATCTGTTTCTGAGAGGAGGAAAAATATTACAAAGGATGAATATCAGAGGTTTTTTTTACACACAGGAATCAACTAAAAATGTTTTCATCTGTTCCCAAACCTAAAGTTTGCCAATGTTTTCTTTAAAAAAAATGAACACATGGTTGCACGCACATACACTGTCGGATCAATCATTCATCAGTTTGACAGTTTTTTAAATACTTTCTTTTTTAAAGTAATATCTTATAAACCAGCAGAGGTGGTATAGTAGTTACAGCACATGCTTGCCAAGACAGATGTCTGGGCACAGTTCCCAGCTGAGCCAGTTTTTCCCAGCCAAAGGTCTCTGGAAAGCTTGATTTTATTTTCCAACAAGTTTCCACTTTCCAATCTGAAACTTATTTTCTTTTTCTACTTCTTTTTACAGTCCATGCCATGTGACACTGGTAGTCATGTCTATCCACAATCTTCTGTCTTATATACTTTCAATCAGTTCTGACACAGGTGATCTTCCATGCCATGATTTCAATCTTCTTCTTCTTCTTCTTCGCGTTCACCAGCTGTAAACTCTGACAGAAAGTTCTGGTTCTTCATCCACTTCTGGACTGCAGTCCTGTTCCAGAACCTGAGTGTTGCGTGTGCATCCATTTCACAGATCTGACTCATTTGTATGCAGACTGCTGGTTCCTTGCCTCTCAGGCAGACACACTCTGACTTTGAGGGAAGCTCCTAATTAGTGACTCTTATGACATGCTTTTGGGTAGGCAATAGTTCTATTCTTGTTTTCCCTATAATAGGGCCCCAGAACCCACATGGGGAGATGTCAGTCTGTCCAGAATCTCCTCCCTCAGTCTCCCTTTACTTATTTTACTCTCCAACTTTCTCACCATTATGATGTACTTCAGCTCTCTTCTTCTCGTGGCATGGCCAAAGAGTGTAGATGGAATTGGATTAGTATCATAAAAATAAGGAGTCAGCAGCTTTTTGAAAATTGTCTGGAAGTGAGTGGTGATGATGACAAGAACTAGCCATATATGACAAGAACTACCTCATATGTCATTGTCTAGAATATGTGAATGTCTAACAGTTCACATCCCAATAACTGTACATGCAATGGGACAACCAATATTCTACACACATATGTATGTGGTGTTCTATATGTGTCACTTCCCATGGGTGTCCCATAGATTTCCATAGGAGGCTGCCATGGTGTAACGGCTAGACACTCACCTGCAGATCAGAAGGTCGCTGGTTCAGGTCCAGACGGCACCAGAATTTTATCCCAAAAATGACCTTGCCTCCCAGGTCATCCCACAGTCCTGAGAAGTAGACGTGGCCAGTGTGATATTCACCACATTACCCACCAAGTACTGATTGGTCTATAAAATTTAGATCTAGCCCTATATGTCTGAAGGCATGTAAAAAGAGTCTTTTTACAAAAGTTTCCACAGATAGGAAAAAAATACAGCTGGAGTTATGCTTGTAATGACGTTAGTAATATGTTTATTATTTCTATGTATGAAAACTTATGATACACCCCATTTATAAGAACAGTTTGTTTTTCATGGAAATAGAAACAATCCAATTTAGAGGTTCTGAAAAGGCTGGGAATGAAAATAGAGTTTCCTGGGAAGGCTAATCTGGTCAACAAATGCCTACAGAAGTCAAATGTGTTGACCGAAAGGCACAAATATCACACCCATGATTTCAAATCACATTCGCAAATTACATCTTCAGGCGAATGTAGAAAAAGAAGAAAAGAGTTCCTGAGGGAAATTTAAAAAAGAGACAAGTGAAAAGTTTCAACTACAATAAAAGACAACACTCTTATAAAAATCTTACTGGAAGGAAAAAATATAAAGCATTCAGACAAAAGGCAGACAGTGGTAAAAGAGAGGGATAAGCAGCAGTCTCAGGGACTAATTAGCAAAAAATTGTATTAGAGCTCCATTGCAGTCAACCTTCATTGTGGAGACAGCAGCTGACTGAAGGATTTTCTACAATTCTAATTTGCAGTTTGTTATTTAGCTCTAAATCAGGGATATTTGACTAAGTTTACTCAGGGATATTTGACTAAGTTTACTCAGGGATATTTGACTAAGTTTACTCAGGGATATTTGACTAAGTTTACTCAGGGATATTTGACTAAGTTTACTCGGGGATATTTGACTAAGTTTACTCAGGGATATTTGACTAAGTTTACTCAGGGATATTTGACTAAGTTTACTCAGGGATATTTGATTAAGTTTACTCAGGGATATTTGATTAAGTTTACTCAGGGATATTTGACTAAGTTTACTCAGGGATCAAATTATTGAAAATGGGGAGCATCTAGGACCAGAGGCTTGAGCTATAGCATATAGATCTCATCAGTGTTACACAAGGTTCGAGGTTTGAACAATGCATTAACATCATGGCACATGGGTAGTAACCCATAAGTGCTCCATTCCTCTTCTAACCCAAGTCTGACTCTGAAGAAGCTCAGCAAAGTGCACAAGCTCTGTAGCACCGGCGAGGATCCTGAAATACTTTGGGTAGATTTTTAACTCAAAATTTTTGCCCTAGCAGCGCTGTTAGGCTACTCTTTTCAATTTCCAACTGCCTGGGGATTTTTTACGTGCGCAATAATGCACACAGGCGTCCGATCTCACTACCCAGAGACCAGGGGGAATTACTAAAAGACCAAGCCATGTGAAACAAATCCCAACTCTTACCGGGGATCGAACCCAGAACCTCTAGCACTTGAGGCAGACACCATGCAGCCCCCCTTTAGCGCAACACAAATGGCAGTGATCTGCAGGCCACTTGCTAGGCTTCTGTAAGCCAAATTCGGCCTATAGGCCACCAGTTGAACAGCTCTGCTTTGAATATTAATACTCCAAAACTACTTACCTCCAAATGTGATCGTAGCTGTTGCCTTGTCAACACCGCCCGGTTCTGAGCCAGTACAAATGTATCTACCCAAGTCACTCTCTGTCAAGTTAGGGATTATCAGAACACCATTCTGATCAATAGCTTTTGAAGGCATGATTCCTCCCTCTTTAGTCCACGACAGCACATAGTTGGCCTGAATCAACCAATCACACACACAAAAACATATTTATTTCTGCTCCAGACAATTATTACATGTAAACTTTCTGTTGCAAAATTGTTTAAATTTAGAGTAACCATTTTTTTTTTCAACAGTGCTGACCATAATACTGACCATTCCCTATTTGCTACAAGAGTTCAGATGAAAACAAAGAGAATTTTTTACTTCAAGTACAAAATACAACGCCAGGTTAAATATTTCTAAAACTAAAGACCTTGAAAAGTGTTGTGCCTTCCAACAACAGCTCTAAGATGCTTTCACTGACATAAGCATGCCTAAAATGGGATGCAGTTAAGAAGACTGACTACAAAGCGGCTGCAACAGTCTATGGGATTATGGGATTAGACATAGAAGTTTTGTTGCTTTTATTGATCTTATTAGGACATTTGATTTGTTTAGTAGAAAAGATCTGTTCAACAATCTGAAGATGTCTGGGTGTTAACTTATACTACTGAGCATTATTGAGTCATTCCACACATGTATGAAAGATACAAATAACTTTGATGGTGTAACATTGGATGAGTTTGTAACCAACAATGGAGTGAAGCAAGGATGTGAACTTGCTTCTACCCTCTTTGGAATATACTATTCACTTCTTCTGAAATATGCCATTCGAGATCAAAAGAGTGGTTTCTTCATCAGTTCTCAATCTGATGGCAGTCTTTACAATGCTTGTAGGCTGAAGACCAAAACCAGGATAAGAAAGGTACTTTTCAGAGAAATGCTGTTTGCAGATGATGCTGCAATAACCACCCACTCAGAGGAGGAGCTGCAATGTTTACTGCCTGCATTTGCTGATGCGTGCTGTGAATATTGGACTAACAATCAGCAAAAAGAAGACAAAGTTTATATTGCAGGGTGGTAATGATAGACCTGCAGTCTACACTGACGGTAAAGAGTTGGAGAAAGTTGACCATTTTACCTATCTGGGATCCAGAGAGAATAACAAACTACTGTTTGACCAAGGAATCAAAATGAGAATAGGTAAGGCAGCAACAACCATGAGCAGATAAGCAAAATGAGATTTGGAGAACAGAAAGTTCATGATTAACAAAACAACTGCAAAATGTTCACAACTGGTAGAGTCGACCAAACTGATTGTACTTACAGCACTGTTGTACTGGACAGCAACACAAATGAACCTGGCAGTCTGTCCTGGGCGGGTCTCAATTGTTGTTGGTTCCTCTATTCTAATTCTCAGAGTGGATTCTGGCCCTGAAATTGAAAAAAAATTAAATAAATTACCAATGTTGACAGCTTACTGCTTTCTTTTCAGTAGCACTGACAATTATGGGTAGATAACCAAGCCTCAGTTTGAATAATGGGAATCGTGGTATCAAAGAAAAGAATTATTCATAAATGTGTTATAAAGTGAATGGTGTTATTTTGGGACAAGTACAGAAATTTAAGTATCTGGGCACATGGATAACATCAGATGGAAGATGCATTACTGAGTTTAAAAACAGAATAGAACAGACAAAAAGTGCATTTTATAAAATAAAGAACATCTTATGCAATATATCTGTCACTGAAGGTTAAAAAAAAAGAATTCTTGCTTGCTACATACATCCAGTTTTTACATATAAGTGTGAGCCCTGGACAATCTGTAGGCAGGCCAAACAATTCTTAAAGCCCCAGAGATGTGGTTTAACGGAATAATGCTTAAAATACTTTGGACAGCTAACAAGAGCAACCAAGAGGTTTTGGAAGAGGCGGGAGCCCGAAGACAACTTATCACAGACATCAGAAGGGGACAGTCATCATTTTTCGGTGCTGTGGAACATGTGACCACTGGAAAGATCTGTGGAAGGAGTGACAGAGGAAGACCCCAAAAAAATTCTTGACAGTCTTGTTGCCTGGCATGGAGGTGTGTTAGCACACCACCTGATACATGATGCAGAAGATAGTGGATGGTGTAGAGGCATGATCGCAAATGCCAAACGGCAATGCACCTGATGATGATGAACCAAGACACATGAAGAGATACATGATGTGCAATCCAGTCTTCAAAATTCCAATTATTGCATGATGAGTTATTTCCCATATTACATATATATATATATATATATATATATATATATATATATATATATATATATATATATATATATATATATATATATATATATTATATATATATATATATATATATATATATATATATATATATATATATATATATATATATATTTATATATATATATATATATATATATATATATATATATATATATATAATGAAGAAAACAACCACTAAGTGTTCAAACTTACGGCCCACAGTAAGTGTGACAAATTCCCGGATAGTTCCAACAGCATTGGTTACTTGACAAACATATCTGGCTGAGTCGGTATATTCCAGATTGGGGATGGTCAGTTGATAGTTGGGGCCAGGTCCTTGTGTGGCTCTCCGAGGCAGTGGTCGGCCGTCGATCCTACTCCACACAACATCAAATGGTGCTCGTCCACTTGGAGTACACTGGAAGGTGGCAGTGGAGCCCAGAGGTTCTGTGACACTCACAGGGTTGACAATCACCCTTGGATCCACTATATTGAATAGAATACAATTTTCATTGTAAAAGACAATGCTCATACTAATACTGAAATGCATGAACAAATGTGATAGAGAAAATGATCAACAGTTTTAGATAAACCATTGTTACCAAAGCAAACCTAAAAAGAACCAATTTTTTATCCCAACTCTTTGTTACTAGTGTCAAATATGGCCTCCTCACATGGATTCCGGACCCTAGTATGGAAAAAACAAACTAGACAAGTTGCCTACCCAACAAGAATGTCGTAGGAGTCCACTAATTGGGAACTTCCTATAAAGTCAGAGTGCGTTTGCCTGAGCGGCTAGGAACAACCAGCTGCACACAAATAAACTGGTAAAATGGATGTACATGCAAAACTTAGACCATGGCACAAAGCCAAAGTCCAAATGGAAGAACGAACAACCAGGACTTTCCATTGGAGTTTACATCTGGTGAACAAAGAAAGACAATATGGTCTTATTGCAACTAGATATTTTTTGGGGAGGGAAAAAAAAACTAGATTTTAAAAAAATTTTGACATCAGTGTGACATCATAAAATGTCACCATTGTGTCATACAGCTCTTTGTGCAAAAGTGACCAGAAAAATTTTCAGATGGTTAAAGAGAAAGAAAAAATCACAGGGTGTTAATCACTTATGCAGTCCTAGTGGGGTTAAACATTACTCACTCAAAAAAGAAAGAAATCAGTTAATTCTTTGCTCTGTTTGTATTTAGTGATTTCTTCCTTTCACATAGGAAAAAACTTTTCTCTGAATCAGACATTAAGTAAGTGGCGGGGTGGGAGTTGGATTCAGATTTTTCTTCTTTTTTCTAATTCTTCTGTAGCCACTGGTAAAAGTTGTGACTATGTATTGTGGTCTTGACTGTGCTAACTGCAACTTTAGGCCCAACCCAGCTGATTCAGCAAATCCATTATTATTGAATTTGGTTAACTCAGGGGGAAATTCTGAATTTATTTTATAAAGAGCTTCTGGCCAAATATTGCAGTCAGACATGGTAATTTGCTAATACATTTCCATATATGGGCAGAAGTCTATGGTTTTGCTGCCTAAGCTACTGAATTAGGTGCCTGGTGCAGCACTGTGAGCTGTAATATTAAAGTGCAGTGCCTTTCATTAGTGCAACAGCTGTATCGTTATATTTAAATGGCGGGTAGCCATTTTGTATGTGGGATGGTGAAATACCTTATGTAATAATGTTACATATTTATGGCCAAATTATCGTGACTGACTGCTGCAATCAATAAAGAACTGCATTTCTGATGGAGACTGTTGGCTTTGCACCTCTAGAAACTGCCTTATGAATTTCCTGCTTTTGCATATTTCTAGATTGTGCTGGGACTAAATGTTTTTTCACCAGTTTTTGAAATGGAACAGTGAGGGTCATTTTATTTGATTTTCACTGACACAGGAATGAAGCAAATATGGGGAAACCCAATTGCAGTGAGGTTGAAATCTCGACTACTACTAGTGATGTGATGTCACAAAGCAAAAGGATTTCACACCTACCTGTCTGCTCAGTTGTCTAGGGGTTCAACTCTCTGGATATTTATAAATAACTTTCCAAGACTCCATGTCTGAAGGTTTGCTTTGTAGGAAAGGACAGCTTAGGCTTTTGTTTTCAGGTGTTTTACAGGGACATTTGTAGCTAATAAAGTCAATGTTGACCATGTCAATGACTTCCACTTCCATAAAGTGTTTTTCCAGTGTCTTGATTCAATCTCCATTTTAAATGAATTTTATATAAAGTGTAGCTATCAACTTTTACATATTTCTTCTTGTGCCACCAGTGGCCTCTTGCATCCTGGTACTTACCAACAGTAGTCCTCTCACACCTGCCTCCAGGCTCACGAGGGTTTCCCTGGTACTCTGGAGCACATCTACAGAAAATAAAGAGTGCACAATGAAAGTAATAACAACAATAAGTATATTAACTCTTTCAATCCCAATTAATGCATCTAACGTTCATAGGTTCATACCTAGAAACCCAATGAACACAGGATGCGCCAATTTTATGTTTTTCTGGACTACCCCTTGGGCCTCTGAAGCTAAACCCTCTGGGACTGAAAGAGTTTAACAAAAACCAAATTAACAGTAAGCAAAAGAAATACTGACATGCTAAAATATCTTAACGTCAAGACAGACTGGCTGGTAAACATAATCTTGTCTTGAAAGCTGAAATATTGTGGCCATATGAAATGACAGGGTGAGTTAGACAAAAAAAAATAATAGCAGAAGGTACAGTGCCAAGAAAGAGGGGCAGGGGCTGAACAGCATGAAGATGGGCAAAGGATAAAAGTGACAACTTGCAAAGGAGAGTGCAAGAAGTGGTAGAGTAAGCAAGAGACAGTTTCCTTCAGGCAGACTGCAATAAGAATGACAATCTGCAAAAAACATGCTACATGATAATGCATAATAAATAAATAACAGGAATTTCAGTGAATCAGAAAATACATTCTTCTTCTTCTGCATTAGTGAGTCAAACCCCCCCCCCCCCCCCCCCCCCCAAATAGAGCCCCAGAACCCACATGGCACAAAGGAAGATAAGAAATACAATTAGTATACTTTTCTTTTTCTTTGCATTTGCCAGCTGTTTATCCATTTCTGGACTGTAATTTTGCTTGAGAACCTGAGTACACATTTTTTTTAGATCTGGTTTATTTGTATGCAGACTGTTGGTTCCTCACCTCTAAAACAGATGTACTCAACTTCAAAGAAACATCTCTAATTGACTGTTATGAATGCTTTTTTAGGGAATAGTGGGTCTTTTCATGACCTGGAGAAAATATCTAAAGGATCCCAACTACCCGGGACCTCTGAAGTGATGCTTGCCACTCTGCATGGAAAGTGCAGGGAAATGTGAGACGGATTTACAATCATACTGTTGCTGGTGCCATTAGAATTGGAATTATGTGCTCACTGCTGAATATGGGAACAGAGAGCTTATGGACATCAGACTTCAGGCATTTGTTGTTCGGGTTTGCCTTCCTGGGATTCTCAATTCATCATTCATATATTCTTATTTAATCCTGTATTTATATTTTGGAAAAACAGTTTGCCATAACAGCTTAGGTCAATTTTGTGTTCATTCCCTTCAAAAGCTTTATAGGTTTTTTTCCTATCTACACGCACAGCTAAACTTGTTAAACTCAGCATGCAGTAAATGCAACATGAAGATCAATGTAAACAAAACCGAAACAATGCAAGTTAGTAGAACCCCTGCCCCACTACACATACAGCTGAATGGTTCTGCCCTGAATCAAGTTAGGGAGTTTAAATATCTAGGAAGTATGATCACAGAAGATGGTAGAATTGGCAGAGAAATATAGACCAGATGTCAGAAAGCAAGTGCACTTATATACCAATTGTCACTATTATTAAGACATCCAAGCATAACTATGAGTGCAAAGAGACAGATTAATTCCAACATTAAGCTACCAGTGCCAAACATGGACACTATCTAAAGCCCATATAAGCAAAATTACCATCTGCGAGATGAGGTGCCTGAGAAAAGCAGCCAACCTAACCATACGAGTTCGAGTGAATAATGAAACTATCAAGCAAATTGTGGGAACGACACCTTGTACTAGATTCAACGAGAAACAGCAGATCAAGTGGTTTGGCCATCTCATTAGAATGCAACAAGATCAAATACCATCACAAG